ACAATTGAAATGAGAAATTAAGAAGTTCATTAAAAAAAATATAAACTTAATTATACTTCGAGTCTTTTAGTGTGTGTATTGAATTTAAGTCAGATTTTTCGTTTTTTGAGTTAATATTTTTTTATTTTAAAAATGTTTAAATATAGTTTTGCCATTAATTTTTTCTATACTTTGTCTTAAACATTTGTTATTTATCTATTTTTTTCAGAGTTTGTAATGGAACATGAAATAATTGAAAAGTATATAAGTAAGAAATTTAGTAAAAACTTGATAAATTTTTAAAAATAATAAGATATAAATTAAGATTTGAACAAAATATTTATATTTTAGTTATTAATTGATTTAATTTAATTTTTTTTGAAGAAAATATAAAAATTAAAGAGTTTTAGATTAAAACGAATTGATAAGAAAAACTAAATTTACTAGAATTTTAAAAATAAAGGAATTTAATGAATTCAAAAGAAAAAAAGGAATATAAAACTACACATACTTTAAATTCTATATATAAAAAAAAGAAGTCATATAATTACTGAAACCGATATGTTATCTTATCGATGATTACACAAATTTTTCTATTAGTGAGTAGTACGTGAATGAATGTTTGATAATTTTAGCATATAGTTAAATAATGTTTTAAGAGTATTAATTAATAAGTTAATATATAAAATAATTTTATTTAAAATTATTACAAGATTATATTAACAATAATTCTTATAAAAATTACTTTTAATAGAATACATATAACATTTATCTACGTTTTATTATAAATTTTATAATTTATATTAATTTAGACATATCTCATTATTATATTTGAAAGACTAAACCGCCAATTTAGCTAATTAAACAATAAATTGATCATATAAATTCTCCCAATGTTTTATATTTTCTTATTCTTTTTATTTAGTTTAAATCTGGTTGAAAACCCATTTCTATCATTTAAACTAATTAGGCTACGACCTATAGCTCATTTAATCTTCAATTTAAATTTTAAAAATTAATTCAAATTACTTCAAAAGTTTCTTGGCCCTACAAAATTATACACATATATAACGTGAATAATTGACATAACCAGCTGCACGTACAGTTCATAAGTTCAATATTTAGAACGATGTTGGCTTTAAAAAAAATGTAAACCAACAACGTTTACTTTTGAATAATATGATTCTCATAAAAGAATTAAAATATTAGAAAACATTTTTTTACTCTGTCTCTTTTCATCACTTATTTTATCACTCACTTTTTTTTTTCTCTTCTTCCCTTTTTTTCTGCGTTGATTAAATTCAATTTTAAAAGCTTTACAACGTGAACTTAAAACTCATTCAAATATGAGTTACAAACCTTGAGAGTTCACATGTGAATTAAACAATTTTTTACCAAAACGAAAAAAAAATTGAAAATACTATATTGATTTGAAGTTGCGTCTAACTTGTCCAAAATTTCCTGAACCATTAATTTGTTGATATTTATTTATAGATTTAACTTGTCAAAACAAATTTATTCAATATAGTGACAGGTATATATCAGCACCTAACTTCTCTGATGCAAAAATTTAATTATACAGAAACGTCTATCATAATTTTAAAAAATAAAAAATAAAAACTATTTGAAATAATATGACGATGTCGATCATGGTGGTCCCCATTCCCTATCCAATTATGGGTCAGTACTTGGGTGATTATTATCGTTGGTCCACGTTTTAACCAAAGGCTAAATACGCGTACAAGGAGGATATGACTCCGTGGACGATTACGTTAATGAAGTTTCTCATGTGCCTTATTTTTGGATTGTACGTATCAGATGAATAAGAAATAAGAAAAGAACTAAAAAATTATAACCAATAATGTAATGTGAAAAAATAAAAAATAAAATAAAGTTAAAATGTTATACAAATTAATATATAGATATAATTACTGTTATGTTAAAATTAGAATATTTGTATAATACTTTTTATAAAGTATTTTTATTATATTAATAATTTTATTTCATATTTTTCTCACTTCTTTCTTTATTTTGTACAAATATATTTTCTCATTACATTAAGTTGAGGACAAGCTGGTGTGCTGAGGAGGAACCGCCTAAATGAAAATTATTGAGTTCAATCGATCGAAGCAAGCAAATTATTTCATTTATTATATAGAAGTGTTTGTTTATTTTCAACTCTATTCTAATATGATTTAAAACCATTCTTCAACTCTTTTAATATTATCAATACTTTTATATACGTAGATCCAGATAAAGAGAATAAAAAAAAACTGGAACTCATTGGGAATGATTTATATTACATTTTAGTATTGCATATGATAAATATTCTCCATGTATTAGATTAATCTTTGTATATATTGTATAGAAATACATATTGTACGACCCAATGTTGTGATCATCAAGTAAATATGCACACAAAAAAAAAAGTCCTTAAAAAACAATTTTCTAAGGTTGAGTCATAATTTTTTAGACATTCTGCTATGTATCGGTCAATCCATTCCTAATTACTTAAGACTTCCTTCACATATTTGATTTAATTTTTATTATTTTATTAAAAAATATTTTTTAAATACATGTTATTAATAACTTTCCTTTTTATGTATATCAAAAATATAATTGACTTTGAATTCTAATAAATAATAAAGCTATATTAAATACTTAAAAATATTAAGATTATTATTGATTTTATTAAAGATTTTCCTGCTTCAATGCCAAATATTTATTTAAATTTATAGGCTGTACGCTAGCTACTCCCCACTGGAGCTTCTGCCTTGGATTATGGGGACTGATGGTTTTGTTTTTTCTGCTTTTATTACTAATAGTACATTTTCTTGTGTTTTGTTTAACAAGTGTGTATATGTTGTTACACATCAAAACAATGTATAGTGTACTTCTGTAGAATAAATAGAGACTGAAATGATTATCTTGAATAACCGGTAAAATTAGTGTAGGAAATATATGCTATAGCAATTTTAAATGATGTTCTAATGTATTTAATTATATATTTTTTGAAATAAATTTTAAATTTATAGTTAATTTGTCTATTAAATTAATTTAAAATTTTTTTAATGCACATGTTAATTCAATCAATATTCAACAAGATGTATTTTTAAGAATTTTAACTTCAAATATATTTTGTAGTTTTTAGATATTAACATAATTGATATTATAAGTTTAAGATATTAATTTGATTATTTATTAATTCGTTCATTTATTCATCGTATAAGACAAACTCTTGCAGATGCGTTAAATTAACCATCCGTCTTTTCTGGTTACCAGCTGCAATAACAAGTCCAAAATTAATATTAATAAGAAGCTTAGGACCCATGCGCCATTCTTCTTTTTTAACGATCTATAATTAAATTATTACATTATAAATATATTTTAATTAAATTCTAAAAATTAACAATAACTATACGTTCTCACATTCAGATTCAATTAACAACATTTTGAATCTACTTCAGCCAAAACTTATAAAAGTTAGTGATATTAACCTTAGGACAACCCAAAACCTATATTTTACACCTACAAATTTTCACTTGAACTAGGCAAAAGTTTCATATAAATTTTTTTTTAAGAAGGTTCATTTTAATAAGTGGTTCAATTTTTATTTCATGGAAGTCCAGTACATGATATTAATAAGAACACCAAAAGGCGGCAAGCAGATCTCAAGTATAATTAATTTAGAGACTAAAACAAAATGAAATCAATCTAAAAAAGAATACCTATAATAGGAAGTCAAGTTAGTTTTAACAATTTAAATTATTTTTAAAGAGATTTATATGAACATAATTTTAAATCAAATTAGTTTGATTTAATAAAATTTTGAGAAAATAATTAAGTATTTGAAGTATGAGAAGTCTCTTTTTTTTTTGTATAATTTAACATATTTAAAAAAATTTGTAACATATTATAAAAAAAGAGAAATAAATATCCTACATTATATTTCTCAACTTTTTTTTGTTTCTCATCCAGTTTAATCTGGATTCGACCCGGATGGCACATTTAGATATGATCAGTGAGTTTATAACTGAAAATTTTTTGCATTCAGAAAAATTCAAACTCTAAAATCTTGTTTAAGTGATATCAAGTTGTTTGATACTCGAACCAACCTCTATAGATTATATTCCTCAACTTTAACTAATTACATAAATATGTAACATATAATCAGTTATAATAAAGTTAGAACTAGAAAATTCCAACTAACAAACTCTCTCATTTTCATCAATTCTATAATGATTGGTTCTTATATATAGAGAGAGAGAAAAAAAAACCTTTCAGACTAAAAGCATGTGAGAAATGATATAGAGAACGATGCTGAAAGATACAAGAGTTATCTTTATTAGTTTTTAATTGGGTTATTTTGTGAAAGCTTCAATTTATTATATCTTTATAATGTGATTTATTCTTATTTTCTTAATGATTTTTTGACAATGAGGTTTTTCTGAATTGTTTATAGAGTAGGAGGAGGATCCTACTATTGGTCAAAGACTTAAGTGAAGATATATTGCACTCGTGAGTCTCAAGAATGTTGATTTTTGAGGGAGACATATTACTTAACTATTGTAAAGCAAGTTCATAATAAAATAAATAAAAATCAGGCAATGTTTGGAGACTTAGATGTATTTATGGTGGCAATAACGAATCAATACATATATAAATTTGATTTGCATTCTTTCTCTTTCTTGTTTCTATCAATTTAATTTTAATTGTGTGTGTTTTCTAATGTGTTGTGAATTCAATTTGAATACATTCTAATATTTATTTGTTTTTCACAAATACTCTCATATTTCAAAGTATAGCATTCCTTCTCAAATCTATATGTTACAAAAGAAATTGATTTTTGTTGTAAAAACATTGATCAACCATTTTGTTAAATAATTAAAGGATATGTCAACAGGGACAAATTAAAATGCCTAATATTTTTTCATGTCAATAACAGTGACTTTCTTTTCTATTTTGAAAAGCAAAAGATAGAGCAAGAATATGTAAAATAATACAAGAATGGTGTGAAAATATTCTGAATAAATATCATTACTGTTCGGCTAATTACAATGTCAATTCATGAGTATTTTCCGGGGTGTTTCTTCCCTTTGGTGGATAAGCTTTAATTTGTCTGCATGTATCTGCATAGTTAGGGTAAAACGCACAAGAAACGTGCGTATATATATTTTCCACAACAAAGCTGTTTTTCCATGTAGAAAGGTGAAGCAAAATAGAAAAACGAAAGATAAAAAGAAGAAGGAAGAATGCACAACCCATTTGACAAGGTTTCGTTTAACACACAGCCGTACACAATACATTTCTCAAAGCAACAAGAACACAAGGCGGCTAGAGATGATGAAGCGATGAATGATAATAGTTTGAAGGAACCCCACCACTATACCATGTGAACGTCACTGCAAGAAAGCCAAAACAAAAACAAAAAATTGCAAGCCACTCTTTGTGCTGGGTAGTTTCGTCATTTTGAATCCACAGGTTCCACAATTATTATTAATTTCTCTATTCCTTTTTGCATTATTATGTTATATGCGTGTACCTACGGTTGTTTAATTTTTCGCTATATATATACACAACTCACTCTCCAACCATTCCTCCAATATTTCACATCGAACTCCCCAATTATTATTCAAAGCTTAAAACAAAGGGGGGTTTCTAAGACTCCATATTTTGTATTGAGCAATAATGGGTAACAGCTTAAGGTGTTGTTTGGCTTGTGTTCTTCCTTGTGGAGCACTTGATTTGATCCGCATAGTCCATTTGAATGGCTACGTAGAAGAAATTGCACGTCCAATCACAGCAGGGGAAATTCTCAAAGCCAATCCAAACCATGTCTTAAGCAAACCAAGCTCCCAAGGTGTGGTTCGCCGGATTCTGATCCTCTCGCCGGAGACCGAGCTCAAGAGAGGGAGCATATACTTCTTGATCCCATCGTCGTCCTTGCCGGAGAAGAAAAGGCACGTGAGGCACGTGAGTGGCAGCGCTGGTGATATTAATAGGAATAATAATGATAATAATGATCACCTTAGCAAAGTGTCCTCTAAGAAGAGCAATAGTAGCAACCATGGTTTATCATCGTCACAGCAATGTGATGATGGGTGCTTAGTAGTGTCTAAGGAGAAGAAATGCTCACCGCGGGATCGCCGGCATGGCCGCGGCGGATTGTGGCGGCCACGATTGGAGAGCATCTCAGAAGACTAATTTTGACTTTAGGAGGTTTCCGGCAACCGGTGCCGGAATCCGGCATGCGAGAGGGGTGGAACCTAAGATGGTTCAATACTTGAATTGTTAAAATATAACAACATGACACCTTTTTTTCTTTCTTAAATGTATGTGAGTATTAAATTTTGTGGATAAAAGAGTTACCTTGCTTTCATACATATATGTTTATATGATTTTTTTTTAATGCTTGCTTAGTACAAATTAAAAAGAAAAGAAAGGGAAAATAATCGACAGAGTGATGAAGAATTCTTCGAATTTTCTTTTTCGTTCTTATATGTTATATTGAAAAATAAAAGGATATTTGATTTTATTTCATACCCCAAAATTTTAAATTCAAACCTGCGTGTATATAAGATTGATGATCATATGAAAAATTCTGGTTTCTTCCAAATGTTAAGAGCAATTTGTTTTTTTTTTTTTTAAATAATCAATATATGCAACCCCAAACAGTTTAATGGTGGCATCCAATATTAGATCCATATATATTCCAATGATTAAGCCAAGTTTGAATTCAGATATTTAATTGGAACATGCACGTTAGGCTCGTATGTACACCCAAGGAATTTGTTAAATAAAAAAGGAGGAATAAAAGGTTTAAGTTGACATTATAAATTCAATTACTAACTAATTTGTAGTTGGTCTAGATTAAAGCGATATATGTTCTACTTTTAGGTGATAACAGTTGTAATCGGAATAAACAAAGTCCAAATAATTAGAAAATGAGTATTATTGTTAAGGCAAGAAGTCAAAGTAAAACTTAAGCACACAATGGACGCATTTTCTTAGGCAACAAGGGGTGCAAAAGTATGGATTATGTCCCAATTAAGGTTGATGATTGTGCGTCAGGCTTTCATTCCGTTGTTAACATTTAAGAGTCAATTCAAGATCGATTAGTTGGTGGACTTTAGTTGGCCAATATATACTATAAAAGGATATTATTCTAAGATAATTATTTTTTTAGTTAAATATTTTTCAAACTCATATTAACTTTTACTATATTAAATATTACCACACAGTAAATGTGGAATATATTTTATGAAGATTTCTGAGACATGCGGGTATTAAAATTAAAAGTTTATTACTCAATATAAAATTTAATTACAAGTGCTGTGGCCGTCAAGAAAATAAATGAAAATAGAAGAAGTGGGGATTCAAATAGCCAGAAACTATCCTGATTGAAATGCTCATTAAGAAAAAAAAAACATATTCCAAATTTGAAAACTAAATTTAAAATACAAGCATACAAAAAAGAAGTATAGAATCCTCCTTTTTGGAGGAAGGTGAAAATTCTCATATATATATATATATATATATTAGTTTTTTTTCTCACTACAAGAGTTTTAGTAAAACAAGTAATTAGATAACATCTAATTAGCTTTTCTTCTTTTTGTGTGTGTGAGTGGAAAAAGCATAGTCGACAAGAAAAAGATAGATGGTAGAAACGATAGAGAGGAGAAAAAGGTGGGACTTGGTAGAAACATTGGCGACATGACCACGCTACACAAGCAAACAAGCTGGCATGTCCTCCTTGACTCATTTCCTATTAAATTACTCACTTGTTCACGTGGATTCCCTCTCCTCTCTCCCACACCAATAATAGACAATTCTTTGCACATCCCTTTCTCATACTCCAACTCATCCATATATTATTATACTAGTTCGATTGGACCATATACCTACCTTGGTTTCACTCCTCTAGATTATCATATTCATAGATCGATGCACATCATGTTAATTTTATTTTAGTGAACAAAAACAGAGGTTCACTAATTGTTGTGGGGTTTCATTAAGTTGCTTTATTGGATATATAATTTTATTTTAGATATATCAATGCAATTGTCTATAAAAAATTAAAATTTTAATACAATGTCTTAACTTTATTAGTCTATCTAGAATGAGGTGATTTGTTTTATAAAATAACTTAGACAAATTCATTATTGTTAACTTTCTTTTCTTTAAATCGATCAAATGGTTTAACTTTAAACAACATACGTACGAATACAGGATTGATTGGATGTCCTCCTTCCAAGGTAAAATTTCATCGATTTGGTTTAAAGGAAAAACATATAAACGTAGCATTAACTTGCTTTTAATCAAAGAGTAACTGCTGCTGAAGTTAAATTGCAAAATGTTTGACTGAAAAATAATTCATTTTAAAATTTTCAGTTTCTTTCGACATTGCCAAGTAAAATAATTTTATAAAGGTAACTAAAGTGATATTTTTCAAAAAGCTTATTAAATGAATTGAATCAAACAAACCATTAAATAGTGCAATAACTTAGTGTTAAAAATTGGATTTAGCTTCTAATTAAGCTGCCGGATTATGAAAGTGGCAACATAAAAACAATTTCAAAACAGATCGGTGAGATCATTAAGTAATTAAAAAAATCAATCAGTTGGATGATAATGAAAAACATATACTGTAAAAAAAATTATAAGAAGGAGATCCCAAGGACGAGATCAGAGTAAGTAGCATTGAGCCTTGCGCTGTATTTGGTTAGGACAAAGCAGATCAAGACGCTAAGTTCACGGGGTTCAGTCGCCAAATCCCGGAGGGAAACTAGCCTCAATCTCTCAAACATGCACACATCCCAGCACTGCAGATTGGAGTTATATATTTATACACTCATACCTAATTGGTCTAGACTTCATCTATGTTCAAATTACCTCTTGTATATAATATAATCATAGTATGTTTCCCAATGTGTTTATTTGAAAGGAGTAAATCGCTACTTTTTTTAATGCCAACGTAGCATTTGTATTGAGTTTTTACCCTTCAACTGTGATTAATATGGTTTATTGAAGAAAATTTGCTTTTAGGAGGAGTAATGAAATCCTGCTTTTTATGTTGAAAAATCCAAAATCTTGGAAGAATATTACTTTAATTTTGACCTATTAACTAATACTTTTTTATTTAACAAAATTTTGTGATTTTTTAATAATTGAATTGTATGCACTCCTTCCATTTTTATTATATGTTATTTTTAACTGATTTACATAGATTAAGAAGATTTGTTAAAATTTATTAGCATTCTTCAATTTATAAAAGAAATTATCTATTTCCTTTTTTATAATTTATCAATTTTTTTAATTTTTCTCTTTACCTTGATTATCCTTTTAATATCCTATTACTTTCAACATACTAGTAACTATTGATACAGTCCGCTATTATTGAATGAGTAAAAAAAAAAACTTATAGAAAATGTAGAGTAATTAAACATGATGCTATTAGAGATTAAGGATAGGCTTGAAAAGAAATTATCTTTCATAGATTTAATTTATAATCAAAGTGGTATATATAAAGATTAACAAAAGTTTTTAGAATGTGACTTGTAAAATAAATGAAAGAAATATGTAAATGATCTGAAATAAATTTGTATAAATTCACTCTCTTGCATGCATGTTTGATTGATAGAAGGCAGAGTTTGATTAGTCTTAGCATTACTGTTATAGCCACACAACAATCAATCCAGCTAACTTACATTATTAAATGTCACATTTAGGATGGTGTTTGTTTTAGATCATGGAAAAGGAAAGGAGATAGAAAATTTAAAATAAAATATTTTATTTTATTATTTTATTTTATTTTATTTGTGTATTTGTGACTGTAGAATACTTGAATTTAACTAGTTATTATAGACTAATTCATTTATACTCTATTCAGCAAATTATAACCACTCCAGTACATACATAGAATGAAAGTAAGAGGTAGATTTTATACACTATATTTCAAATAATTTAGCATGTTTGATTTAAAATATTTTAGAGCGATAATTATATTAAATTTTATAAGATAATTTAAAAATAACAATTTTTACCAAAAAGAATCTGAAACAATTTTTTAATGGTTGAAAATTAAAACCTTTTCCAATTTGATATTCACCCCTTATCAAATTGGTAAACATGAAAAAAGTCCTACCCTTGTTTGTCATTAGTCTCTCCTTCCTCCCCAATAAAAGTACGAATTGAGGGAAAAACTCAAAAAAAATATATAATTATGTGCAATCCAGCTATTCCCATGTTGTTCAAAAATAAAATAAAAGGTGATTTTTAATATGGGCACACACACTCCCAAGTTGAATCGTCAAAGAAATTAAAGTATCCAAAAAACAGTGGACGGCAAAGACCATGTGTGCCATCCCTATGTCCGTACGTACCATGAGTAATAGTTGTTGTTATAATTGATCTGTACAGTGCTTTGTTGAGCATTATTATTCATTATATATGCCAATTCGGGGTGTTTCCATTTAATTCTCCACTGCCTTTTTTATATTCCACCACCTTCATTTCAAGCATTATAATCGTCTTATCTTTTGGTTAGCTTGCGGATGGTATTATGCAAGTGCAATTTAAAAGTTAGATTGTGTCTTCAGGTAGGCTATCCAACACTAGACATGTTCGATAACTAAGGATTATGCTGCCCTTCATTTTGATTACTTTATTAACGCTTGTGTATATATATACTATATAAACAATACAGACAGCTTAAATTACATGATTTTATTTACAAATCTATGGCCCAACGTTGGTTGATCTACAAGGTATTAACAAAATAATTGCAAAAGAAAGAAGTGCTCCATCCACGGAATCTAAAACTATGTTCCTGATATGTACAATGGTTAAACAATTGGCCACACCATTTTACTACGGGGCACTTCCACAATGGTTAAGTGTTGATGCTTGGAATAGGTGGAATTGTCTAGATGCAGATCATGATGACCAACCCCTACCCTATTTTGTTGCTGCACCACCAAAACAGACCCATCAAATGTAGAATCCGAAGACACTAACACGTCACCAACAGGGCCAAGTTCTGGATACTCATTCCACTCTGTCAATCCCCTGAACAATAAAGACTCACTTTCATGGCGCCTGCCCACCAAAATCAAATCAAAGCAACCTTCCAATGTCCTAATGATACTGATCATTTCCACACTATCTCTCACAATTTCCTCTCTATAATCATGTCTTTTTACTTGGATGTAGTCAATCTTAAACTTGTGAATCAAGTCACCATCAGGGTCTCTATTGATAAAATTTCTATTCTTCTTACGAGGCTCTATCAACCGAATTACCGTGACCCTTACGTTTGGGTGATCAGCCATGCGCATTGCATAAGCCAAGGCTTCACGGTCATCTGGTCCTTCTATAAACACTATTCCAACACTGTAAAAGGTTACACATGTTAAAGGGTTGTTCCTAATCAAGTTCTCACGTTCAATTAGGATACCAACCGAACAAGGAGCGGTTCTGAGCAAATGGCGGTTCAATGCTCTAATGGGGTGTGCTGATTCTGTCATCCCACTTGATGTCCATTGTTTGTGAAAAGGCATAATAACCATGCACGCTCTTTTCTCTGCAGCTTGCATGCATATCTCATCATGCATTGTCTCGTAAGGAGAGATGGATGTGAAGAGATTCACCACCACTTTTCCTATGTTCTGTTGCTCATATGATTTGAAGGCATTTATTATTTTCTGTGAGTGACTAGAGTGGGATGAATTGGCCTTATTGCTGGGTTGATGATCAATGAAAAGTGGGGCTGATCTGCCTTTTAGCTGAATGAGATGAAGGACATAGAAGCATATGGGACTCTCAATTGAGGAGTTGGACATTTCAAGAACATTGATGATGGGTGGGGTGTTTTCTTGATGGTGTATGCATGCCATCAAGCGAAGTTCAGCATTGGGAGAGGAATGCTCTATGGTTCTCCTCCTGTTTAAGGACAAGTACCTCTTAGATGGGTCATACAGGAATTTCACTGTGGGAGTGACCACTCCTGTAATCAATAGTATAGCTACCACCATGTTACTATATGATTGTTCATCTATAATCTGCAAGACATATTCACATTCAAACCGGCTATTAGAAAAAATAAAATAAAACAAGAATGTAAAATATGCATGTAACCATTACGTAATGTCATTGTACTCATTTGTTTCTTTCCCTTCTGCAAATTAACTATTTGCATACTAAAAATGTTATGCAAGGACATTTGCAAGCAGATATTTTCGTGAGATTCAAATCACCAGTCCTCATTTCCCGTCCCTCTCATTGAAAAATAGCACCTTAACAAAAAATATTAAGGCTTTGTTTGGATTGATAAAAGGAGATGGAAATAAAATGTGATATGTCTATAAACCAGTGTTTGGATTGTAAAATAATGATGAAATGAAATGAAAGTCAATGGAGCGCACTCCACGTAATTAATTCCATCGTATTTGTCCACCTTTCTTTTTTTCCCAAATTGGGAGGCAAAAGTTGAAACATATAAGTTATTTTAACATATTCAAACAATGGAATGTATAAATTTTAATCCATTCTATTTTACTCCATTTCTTCCATCAATCCAAACATACCTATTAAATCAAGTGATAAAACATTATTTTGAATGAAATTCATTTTTTGTTTAGAAGAGCAGAGAAGGGAACAAGAAATGAGGATGGCTAATTTCAATCCCCTTTGTCTACATATATCAATTCTTACACCAAGGTATAGACAACTCTGTATGTAAATCAACTGGGTGATGCCATTGGCACTGAGAATGAGACCTAAGGAGAGAGCATCAGTCATTGGAATCTTGCAGTATATTGAAGGCAATATGGTTCCTATCACCTTCCCAAAGCAGCTAATTATAGCCACAAGCTGCACAATTACAAAGCTTTGGGCATCAATTGTATAGAGCTTACATCTGGCACCAGTGAAGAGGAAGTACAATGGCATAAACACTACTGAGACCATAGTATCTAGCCTTTCAATCAATGCTGATCCTAGTGGTGGCCCTTCTGGCACTGCCATGCCCAAGAGAACAGGCCCCATCAAGAAGTGCTCCCCAATCAACTCACCAAGCAATGAACACACCAACAACATAAGAAATACGGACACTATGTAGGACTCTTTGATAGGCTTCCCTTGGGGTGTTTGGCGTATCATCCATAACATGATTGGTCGAAGAAGACATACTATGAAAACGACCATAACAATCAAAGAAATGATCATCAAATTGAAAGAATTGTCATCTTCTTTCCTTAAACTAGTTTGTTGTTGTGATATGATAAAAGTCACCCCCATCGAAGAGACTAACCCACTCACCACAGCTGAAGAGAGTGCTAATCGACCAACCTCTGAATTGAGGAGCTTTAAATCTGCTAAAAGACATGCAGTGACATGAAAGGAACTAGATGATAAGAAACATGATATATAAATTAGGGACTTGTGAAGGGCTTGATCTGGAGACAACGTTTTCCGTAGAATAAAAGCAACTAATGTGCTAAGTATAACTGGCATTAGAGAAGAACATATGCCAATGGCCCAAGTCCTTTTCCCTGCTCTCAATAACAGAGGTAAATCAAGTTTGATTCCAATCATGAACATGTACATGATGCTCCCGAAAAAAGCTATTGTCTCACTTACGTAGAAAGATTTTTTGGGAAATAGCCACTTTCTAACGCTTTCAGCATTTCCCAGTACTGAAGGTCCAGCTATCAACCCCGCCTGAATAAATTTTGTACAAAAAAATAGTATTAGTTAATTAGCCAATATCCTTCGCCAGTTTTTTGTTGCATGCATTCCCAAAGAAATTTGATATAGAACAAAATTTACTACCTTCAAAGAAAAGTGGTCAGCACTCACTATGTCTGCAACTTTGGTTTATGTTTTCATTAATAACATTTAGAAAATATTAACAAATGCCTTTATGCCATCTTTAACGGTGTTCTTTGTTTAGTTGCATACCTTGAGTGACTAAAAGTTCGCATGCACGTGTAGCAACCATTCTACTTAAGCAAAAGCAAAATTGCTTATTTTTTAAAAAGTGAGTCCTATTTGTTTTTTATTGTATTTCTTATAAGCAATCCCTGTACCTGTACCGTTAGTTATGTTCATATAAAACTAATTAAAAACTTGAAGTAAGACTATTTTGTGAGAAAATATAAAAATACTCTCACTCATAATTAATAATACTTTTCAATATAAATTTTTAAAAAATTACTATTTATGAATTCCTTTATATGACTCGTGAATTATTAGTATATATAACTTTAGTTTTTGGCTAAACAAACATTGTTTTCCAATTAAAAGAATTATGAAAAGAACTATATAAACAAAAATTTTGAGTCAGCTAAATTTTATAATACGCAGACATACATGTATAGTTGTGTGCGTGTTTCATAAAATTTCATATTATACCAGCACTTGTGGAACGAAGCTACCCTCCCCAAGTGGGATAAGAAGGAACTGTAACCATGAGGTCAACAATGAAACTATGGCGATTTGAAGAATGACCAGTGACAGTATGTAATCTAAAGGGTTGTCGCCATAAAATACCCCTTTTGAACGTTGAAACTTGGTTGCGTTCTCGCACTCCCATATGCTCCTGTTTGCGTAAATGGGGATTCTTGAGCTTATGTTCACTAGAGCCATGTCACAAGAAGAGACACTTACAACAAATCATGGACGCATGGTTTAGAAAAGAGATCATATGTAATTGCAGGTAAGCTATGGAATGAAAGGGAGGAAGTGGAGAATGACGAAGGAGGAATTAGTAGGGTCAAAGTTAAACCCTTCAATAGTAAACCTATTGGGTTGATTTATTTGGAGACAGAGATCATGCACCACCAACTTTGTGTGAAGTCGCTGAATTGCGGGTTGGTGACTTAAATTTAGCTTTGTTTTGTGATTAATTAGTCGATGGTGATATTTTTAGCAGTTAATTGATGTTATTAAGGTGTGGGAGTGCAAACGGGTTTATAGTCACAACATTCTTTGCATTGTTTAGTTAGTGGGTATAATTTAGATATGCGATATCATGTTTTATTGATAGTTAATAAAGTAAGGAAAGGAAGGTGGCATTATGCCGTGCATTCCTTTCGTTCTTTTTCAGTTCATCCTCGCTTGTTCCATTTCATTTAATTAATGAAAAAAAAATCCAATAAAAATGCTTAAAATGTGAGGCAAGCGTGAGACTATCAAATTCTTGATTTAAAAATAAAAAGCAAGTTAAGTTGACTTTGACTGCAACGATTTAAACCTTTTTTTTTTCAATATTTTAAAATATAATTGAAGTGTTGCAATACCTGGACTAAGACTACTTGATTTTTGGGCTAAGGTCTCCCTGATGTGAAGTTCAGCCCAGAACGGTATTGTAATGAAAGATACATTTAATACGTCAGCGCCGTCTAATGGACTCATCACTCTAGCCCATGCAATGATGCACTATCGTTATGACTTTCACAGTTAATATTTTAAATATTATTTTAAATTAAAATTATAATTTTACTTTCACAATTAACATTAACTCAATCTTAATTTTTATATTTTTTTATCAATATTAAAAATTTCAATTTTAATAAAAAAAGATTATAAAAACTTTCCACGTAAGTTTTGTCCATTTAACAAATACAAATATGTCGACAAAAAACACAAAGTGGACTATGATCATTATTGTTTAAAAGCGATTATTTTAAAAAATAATTATTTATTTATAATTTTTTAAGAAAAATTTAATAATATTTTCAAATTTAATTAAAATTAAATGACAGTATAAAGATTTTTGACATTGCCATTCAATTATAAATTATCATATTATTAGTAAGAACTATTAATTTTTATGAATTAATTAAAAATCATAATTATCATATATTTTAATTGATTAACATATTAAAAAAATTATACTAACAATGCATGAAATTAAAATCGTTATTTATTATTTAAAAATATATGAATTAATTACGCACTTCTTTCTTACTAAATAATTTTGTATACTTATTGATTATTATATAAATAAGTGTTTGAATATTTTTATAATTTTATTTCATTCAACAACCTCCCTTAAAGTTAAATTATATCTATAAAAAAATTACATTTTTCGTATATTAAAAAAATGCGAGAATATTTTATTTTATTTTTTATAAAACAAACTACCCCTATGCTACTTGAAACTGTGCATACGGCAACTTGTTATATGAAAAAACAAATTTCCAAAAGGAAAAATGTGATTGACTCTGACTTTGGATATATAAATTCCACTGGATAAGAGAAAGATAATAAAAAGAGAGATATAAGAAAAGTGGTTAATATAGGTGTTTAAATTCATTCCAATCATTTCGTCTAGTCAATCCGAAAAATAAAAACTCAATCAAACCGTTAATTGAAAAAATAAAATAAAATAACCTACCGTTTTATTTAGTTTGAATCGACTGTCACATTTTATTTTCAAAACTAAATCTAACTGAATTAAATCGAACAACATCATTTTATAATATTCTTATTTTGTTTCCTTATTTTACCTAAATAAAACCAGCTAATTATTTCATACAAGTAATGAAAGTGAGTATAACAATTAATGCCATTGCATCTTGACTAAAGGTTGGTTTGATAGATATGATATATAAATTTATCTTATATGTGTAAATTTTTTTCTTGTGAGGAGTTTGGATTTAAAAAAATGAGAATAATATATTATATTTTATTTGTTATAATAGTATGTAATAAATATAAAATAAGAAACAATAGCAAATATATATATATATATATACACATATAATAAGATACTAGCCTATAATATATCTTATAGTATTCTGTTTTTATTTAATTCTCACATCTCATTTTTTTATTTTATCATATTTATTAAAGGCAGGATTTTATTTTATTTTCGTGGTTTTTGTGATTGTAATGTGATAGAATAAGCCCCCTAACATTTACAGGCTTGGGTGGATCTTAGTTAAGTGGAGTTGTGGTTTGGGTGACACTGTGCTACTTGGTCATGTGAGTGAGGCTCGTTAAGACCATATCATGTTGGCATTGATTATCCCTTTCATTAGTGTTATGTATACTTCCTTGAGTCCCAACATGAATGTCTAATTTGATGGGTCGTCAAGGTTGGTGAGGTCCTCATCATTTGTTTCTCTGGATATCACACATCACGCAGTAGCTTATCTCGGATCATTATTTCAAATAACCATACTTAACTTCTTATAATCAATTATTTAGACTGCTTTTAATTGGACATTATGAAATTTAATGATATATTTATATTATGTTAAATCAAATCATAATTTATTTAACAGCATAACTTTTTTCTATCGTTGAATGTTTTTTTTTACCTTTTTTTTTAATACAGAAACAGTGCAGGGGATAAAAATTTAATGGTTCGAGACCGATCTTAATTACTCAACACGGTAATATTTATGAACTTTTTTATATAAATTATAAAAAAAAAATTGACATATGATATAATATAAGTAATCGAGACTGCATATTCTTAAATCACTTAATGATGTTTTATCTCAAATTAATATAAATAAAACAGTACAACTCCCAGTTATTAGTAATGCAATAAAAAAAAATCCAGAAAACAAAGAAAAATTGTATATACTTAAAACTACAATAAATAGAAGAAAATTATCATCCATGATAATATTGCTCAATTTAAATAAGTTTATCTTCAATAAAAAATCAATAATTTAAAAATAAAAAATAAATTATTATATCTTTTTATTTTTTAATATTTTATATTATTTTATAAAGTAAGTATTTAATAAAAAAAGTATATATATTTATAACCTTAAAAAATTAAAATATATTTACTATTTTTTAATTTAGTAAGAGTTTATGTTTTGTCATTATTACCACTCTTATTTGAATAATATTATTTTAAAATACTATTTTTTTAATAATTATTAGTGTATGAAAATAACAATAAATATTTATTTAATAATAAAAAAGATTATACGAAATATATATTAAGCTAATGAATACAAATTCATTAATTATCGTAATAAAATATTAACACTATTCTCTTTAAACAAAAACTTTTGAGGCCATCATATTATCGGTCTTCACATACTCATTAATCATAATAGAAAAAAAAATAAATTCTTTTTAAGCATAATATCAAACATGACCACGATACAATTTAAATCTCTCACTTTTACAAACACATGCATCATTATATTTTAAGAAGTTGTATTTTTCAATCACATATCATTAAACAACTTCTTCAATTCCATAATATTTCTAACAAAGATATACTCAACAATCATAGCAATTCAAAAAACTAAAATTCTTTATGACATTTTATCAAATATCTTGTAAGTATCATCAATTTCTTCATATTCACCTTACATATCAATCAAATTAATATCTACAAAGATATTATGTGTTTATACCGCACCTAAATATGAAGCCATTTTTCAGCAAGATTTAATAATATAAGGATAAGTGTAGAAATTGAAAAGAACACTCCGTATTTTCAAGCAAATAAAAAAAAGGTTTTGAAAATAAGTTGAGATTAGGGAATTTAATTTTAATATGGTGTTTTCATGACATAATGACCAGAATATGGACTTTTCTCTATAATTACAAAAGTGTAATATTTACAAAATTGTCAGTGACAATTTTAACTATATCTTTTCAAGCTACGCTCTAAAAAAATGTGGTACAAGCATTAGGTGAGTACGTAGACCGAAGAAATATAATTATGTAATAAACAATGGGTACAAGTGTTGTAGAAAGTCAATAAAATTGCAGGTAGCAAGTTTTACTAACTTTCTCTTCCTGGAGCTTTGTTGCTCTGTCCTACAACTGAAAAAATCATGGGTGGCGATTTTTACCAACACGGTAATACATTGTCCTGTAACTGAAAAATCGTGGGTGACAATTTTTACCAACATAGTAATGTATTGAAATGTCGTTTTGTGCAGAAGGTGTTGGAACTACGCCTATAAATAGGAATTGAACCATGTTGTAAAATACAAAAAAGAAAATGAGGAAGGAGCTTACAAAAGAACAATATCAAAGAGGGAAAGAAAAAATAAAAAAAAATAGAAAAATTTTATAAAGTTACAAAAAAATTAGCAATTTATTAAGCATGATTTAAGACGTGACTATAGAATTGCACAAACATATTTCACAATGTATTCGTACTCAAAATGTAAGTAAATATTTATTTTTTAATACATGCAATGTAGTATGATAAAAAATTTTCTTAATTTTATTTGAGTTATTTATTTTTTAATTAATGCAATTTATTTTAAGTTTGTATAAAATAAAGATAATTATTCTCGTTTAAATAAACATAATAAAATTTATAAAATTTTAGTATTAGATAATTTTTATTATATTATTTACTTTTAATAAGAATTATTAGCATTGAAAAATATTAATAAATTATTCGTACTAAGTGTTAATATTAATCATTGTATAGTATTAAAATAATAATAATAATAATATTAGATGTAAAAATAAGTAAAACACAATTTATATTAAAATAATAATAATACTATATGCAGGTATAATTAAGTAGAAACATATCATTTTTTTATAGTTAATTTTTTATATTTTGATATACATTTAATTCATAGATTACTAATAAATGACTATTTTTTAATTTCAGGTAATGAGAGTATTATGACCACATCAGTTATCTATAATGCTACATAGGCTTGAAATAAATGAGATTTTACGAAATGCTAGTTTTGATCGTATTGCACAATTATGTCAAATGCATATAAACGGTGGCCTTATAAATGCACTTGTTGAATGTTGGAAACTAGAAACACATACATTTCATCTTCTTTGTGGAGAATGCACAATAAAATTAGAAGATGTTGCTATGTTGCTTGGACTGCGATGCAATGATATAGCAGTTACTGGTTCTACTAATCCAAATACTTTGGCACTGCAGAATATGTGTGAACAATTATTAGGAAGTCGGCCCGAATCAAATGATATTGAAGGTTCTGAAATAAGATTAAAGTGGATCACACAACACCTTGGTTAGCTTCCTGCTAATTTAGACATTAAGATAGCACAACATGCTCGTGGGTATGTACTTTCTTTGTTGGGACATATTTAATGCCAAACAAGAGCAACTCCCTAGTATATGAAAAATTCTTACAATTGTTAGTAAATGTCTATGAAATTAGAATGTAGAGTTGGGGTTCAACATGCCTTGTTGTTTTGTATAGAAGTTTAGATCGTGGTCCACAACATGATGCCAAAGAAATTTGTGAATGCATAATATTATTGCAGGTATGGGCATGACACAGGCTCCCGTGGTTGGCTCTAATACCTGGTAAACCAGTAATATTTCCACTTATACTCAGATGGAGATGTCTTTGATATCCAACCAAGACTCTATATAGAGATCATGGAAATGTTAGACTAGCATTAGATAAAATGGCACTACGTGAGGTACTTGTTAATATATTTATACATTTCTTAACTATTTTTATACATGTTTGAAATTATTTATGAATAATTATTTTTGAAAATGCAGTTCATATGGTGACCATATGAGGATGAAGCGATTGATGTCGTTGTTCCATATGATCCGAGAGGAGAACGTTTATTGTGGTCAACTATAAGCCTGTTGATATGCTTTGAGGTTGTAGAGTGGCATGCAACTAACTGTGTGATGCGACAATATGGATTTGCTCAACCTATTCCTCTCTCGCCCTAAAGTCTTGACGGAGTCCACAACAAATACTTGCATGAATTAAGAGAACTAAAGGACTGGATGTTGATACATAATGATTGGGTGATAATGTGAGAACAACGATATCAGCGTACATTACAAGGAATGGAAATTGACCAGTATTACCTGTCCAATGAGTATTGAAATTGATACACATTGTATGCAATGAATTGGTTATGGTTGTCTCCACAAATGAAACAGTTTATCACCCCAGCAACAACAGTTTTTGGTGGATGAATAGCTTATGTCCCCACCACTGTCTGAGCATCAACAGGGGATTGAATAACCTGCATACCACAATATCATTAATATAAGCATGTTAACAATATATAAAATTTATAATTCAATATAAACATCATTGACAAAAGAATAATGTCAATTACCGATGCAGATGATAAGTTTATGTAAGTAAGGTGTCTTAAATCTTTGCAAGAAATTAGCAGCAATATGCCTGATACAATACATATGAAAGGCCTTTGGAGGTTCCCATTGTCTGTTACTTCGTCTTATTGCTGCATTAATTGACTTGTGCCGATCAGAAATAATACCAACACCATCTTGCGTTACAACATGTTTGCATAAATTCTCAAGGAAAAATTGCCAATCATCTGCAGTTTTTCCTTCAACAATAGCAAAGCCAATCAACAAAATATTTTGATTGTCATCTTGTGCAACAGCTACCAATAAAGCTCCCTTGTATTTTCCATATAAATGTGTCCCATCAACCTGCACAAGTGGTTTGCAGTATCTGAATGCTCGAATGCAAGGAGCAAAACTCCAAAAAATATGACGTAATATTTGAACATCAGGAACCAACTCATCATTGTGATAAGCTTTAACAACATCTAATTGAACAATTGACCCACGAACAACGTCACACATCTCTATAGACCATTGCGGCAAGGCTTCATATGAGGCTTCTCACTCACCATATACTTTTTTAACTATTTTTTGCTTTGCCATCCATGTTTTTCTATATGTTGTCGTATATTCAAATCGAGCTTGAACTTCATTAATCACAAGTTTGATCTTAAAAGAAGGGTCAGATTCTACCATTGGCTTAATACATTCTGCAATTGTGTCTGCATTCAATTTGCTATGATCCTGTGAAATCCTAGCCCTCATACAAGTGTGTAGCCCATTATACTTCCTGATTTTCCAAAAATATTTGTTTTTCGTCAAGCTAGCTCGAATAAGCCAATCACAATCTATGTCATAGCTTACACATTTACAGTAAAATGTATTTGGTTCAGACTCAAATACTTTATAGTCCACTTCTTTTGATATATTGTAATGTTTAATTATTCATATAACATTTTCTCTGTCATTAAATTGTATTCCAACACACAATTCTCCTACTACCTCAAAATTACCTATCAAACACATAAATTTTAATAAAAAAAACTTATGCATTAAATTAAACATAAAATGATAAGGGTATAATTAAAGCATTTCAAACATCACATACCTAAGTTAGCATATTCTAGAAATTCAAGTGCTTGCATACTTGTAATATCTAACGCACGCATGAATAGCGACTCCTCAAACGGATGTTTTTCAATCATTGGACTTGATAAATAGGAGTCTTCATCAACTTCCTCATCTTCTGATTCTTTATCATCACCATCCTCGTCAAAGTCAGGGTAATCACTTTCAGTGTTGTTTTGTTTCCATTCTACCTCTCTGTTAGGAACGATACTCGTATAGGCTTCATCTTCCTCATCACTACCTTCTGCATGTGTATCAGCTGTAATTTGTTTAAAAATAATATACAGTTCAATGGTAGGAGTTGGGGCCCGACGCTCATTATGTATCTAAAACATTTGTTGAATATCTTCGTCGGTTGTTATTGCAACTCTTTGGTATTGAATGAAACCTCCAAAAATAGAAATCGAACACATGTACGTTATACTCTACTATTTTTGGAGTCTTCACTTCAATATATTGACAAAGTCAATATTTTAGTGCTTCATATGATATATTATAAGAAATATGCATACAAATTGGCTTCTTACATATAAATCTCACATCTTCACATGTATTTGTAATAATTTCACCATTAAAGTACACTACTATATTTGTACTCATTTCTTTCTTCAACTACAATAAAATGACCAAATTTGACAAAAAGATAAAATAAAATACAAACAACAAAAATGTAATAGAAAGCTTTAAAGAGTGGAGAGAATATGATTACGAGATTACAGTGCAATTTATTACAAATAGCAATAACTATATATAAAATAAAATTTTAAAAAATATCAGTGGTGATTTTACTTTTTAAAAATCGTCATAAATAATTTTTACTGTAAAAATTTTTTGAAAACTCACCGGTGATAATTTTGGACTATTTTTTAATCTTTTTTCAAAACTCACCAACAGTAATTTTTACCATCATATAAAATTAATTTTTCTGACATTTAAAAAATCACAACTGACAATTTTTAAAATTTTTTATATTTATGTAACTTTTTTCTAAAGCCCATATTATGATAATTAAGTAAAAAAAATTATATAAAAAAATGACCCTTGAGATTATCTCTCAACAAAGAATATAAACTGACAATTTTAAAAATTAAAATATTTAAAAATAATTAAAAATTAAAATAAAATATTATTTTTTAATATAATCAATCATATATGTTATTATATTAAATTTTTATTAGTGATTATTAACAATATATAATTCTAAGAATTAAAATGGAAGTGTTTAAAAATTTAAATACCAAAGGTTTATTAAAAAATAATAAAAAGAATTTAGTCATATAAAAAAACTTGAAATACTTAAAAAGAGTAGACAAAGGAAGGATTTTGTGGCGTGCATTATTGTAAACGCCTAGCAAATTGGTGACATCACCAATGGGGTCATTATACGCCATCAAACCAATTGGTGCGATATCACATTTAATAACCTTTCAGTGATCATTTTAGATCTTATCCATTTCCGTCTGCAATTGGATCCAACAAAAGCGATAATCCTTTCAGATACCCTGTGACCGTATCCTATAAATTATCAACAGCACACATATGTTATAAATAAAAAACCCTTTCAAACATGTCATCAATTTAATCTCATCATTATTTCTAATTTATCTCTATATATTTTTTAATAAATAATGTATTCACCAATTTGTTAACTAATATTTTCAAAGTATTTGGCTCTAAACAATCAAACAAGTGATGATAATTTATACTATATGCCTGCACAGTTCCTTCAAAAAATTTTCTTGATGTACGGCAAGAACAAGAAATGGATTAGCTAGGGAAATGCAAGGTCGGCGAGGAGGGGGAGAAAAGGCATGTGTAGCCCCGTGACAGTGATAATGAGGTGTGGACAAATGAACCTGCAGAATTTGGCCTAAGGCCTAAGGGAAGCGTGTGCATCACGTAAATGTCTTATTCCCCTTCCACCACTTGTCCAACATCAACACAACTCTCATTAAACAAAAGGGCCAATAGCTCTTTGCAAAACTGCCCCTCACCAGCACTTGGCTTTCAATCCTTGGCCCAGGGGCATTCCTGTCATTTCATCCGCATCGGACATCATTCATGACTACCCCCACTTGGATAGATAGGGTTGCAACCTGGAAGCATCCATTTGTTTTGTGAAAGAAAGAAAAAAATGGTAGGAAACAACCAAAGTTGACCTTGACCCGTTTTACCCACCAAACTAGCCAGCACCCATCTTTGACTGAGCATGGCAATCCAAATTAAATGCATAACCTATCCAATATGCTACTTCAATCATCGAAGCCCCCATCCCACAAAATAAATACACTTCCCATTCTTTTATACACAACTGATGAGTATTGTGTCAATAATAGTAAACCATGTACCAAAATATGTTGTTTAAACAGAAAAGTAGTTTATAACTGCACATTTCTTGTAAAAGTTTGGCATTCTGCTTGTGAACAATCGCAAAGACAAGAAAAAATAAACAACAGAATCTTACAAAAGGATTGATATGAGGCTCTTTTCCCAACTAAAGAGAAAAGCCCCCAAGTAATCAAAAAATTTCACCAACACCATGCGTGACATACAACAGTTGTGAAATATATACTATACCAAACCTGTGGCTGTATAAATTTACAACAAAAACAAACTAAAAAATGCAATAAATGGAATGAACCTTATTTTTGTAAAATAAAATTCTAACCCCCCCATTCTAAATTTCAAACCAAAAAGGTTAAAAAAAAAAAAATCCTTCAGCATAGCAAAGATTCAAGGAACATGTCATCTCTGGGCTCCTCCTTGGCTCTGGAGAACACATTGTCAGATAGTTGTTGCTGATTCATGTAAGATCCCATTGGATTCCCAAACCCTGAGAATCCAAAGCTTCCTGGGCTCTGCAGCATCTCCAAAGCAAAGGGAGATTGCCCTTCTGGTGGTGCTTGTGGTCTTTGACTCTGAAGAGAATTGTTAGTGTGGTGGGTCACTGCTGAGGGTCTAATGGCCGTGGCTGCACTGGTGGGGTTTGCAGCATTGTTTGGCATTGGTCTATTGACAGAATGGTTACCACTGCCACGTGCTGCAGGGACATCATGGTTGTGCTTTCCCTCATAGGTTGTGATAACAGCCCTTAGGTCATGTGAGGCTCTTTCTACATGCTTCCTCACTGGACATCCTGGGTGTGTACACTTGTAGTAACTCCTACAATTCACAAGTTCAACACAATATCAGACAAGACAATACAGGGGTACTATTCTTCTACATCACATGCACACCTGTGAAAAAAACGAAAGTTGCCAAATTTGACCAAGGAATTTTAGACTAGCAAAGGAAAACTTGCACACACTAGTATAGTATCCTGTATAATTTCAAGAAAGAAAGTCATTGTGCTAATGTACCTAAAAATATATAGCTAAAGCAGTAGCCTAGCATCCATCATGAAGTCATAATGTTTCTACCACATTTATGCTATTATGCGCATGAGTGTAAGGAACTCCGTAATGGGATTCGCAGACTACTATTTCTTAACAGAGCTACAAAGTAGAACAACTTTCAAAATGTTTGACAAAAGTAAAACCTAAAGGGAGTGTTGTTTTTTTTACCTTGGATTTGGATTACCCTTTACTACTTTCTGCCCGTATTTTCTCCATCTGTACCCATCATCTAAAATATCAATGTCACTTGTGGTCTGAACTACAACCCTTGGCTCTCTCACTGTTCTACTTCCAGGCGCTGACGTACCCTCATTTTCACCTTCAATTTTCCTGAAAAAGTTATAGAAATATTCATCATGGAATGAACCACACAGTGATAATTAATATGAAAAGGCGGTCACATAGTGGATTAGATAACAGCAATTGTGATGCTAGGTGATAAAATAAATAAAAACTTACCATCTTTTGGCATCAGGTTCATCATCATCAAACTCATCTCCTCCTGATTTACACTTTTGGGAACTCTGGTGCTCAAAATCATCATCCCCTATTGATATTGATGAGTTCTCAGGGGTGGCAGCTGAATCCATTTGTCCACTGCCATGAGTAGCGTATGATTGATCTGGAATTTCAGTGCTGATGGGATTTGAAGGAGGGATTGCAAGAGAGGATGAAGATGATGAGTTTCTCCTAGTGGACTGAGGCTTGGGATGGTTGTGAGTACCCTTGTAAACAATCTCAGTGATTTGTCCATCCAAAGACCTCTCAACTTTCTTCTTTGTAGGACAATTGGGGTATGTGCATTTGTAATAACTTCTTGGATTTTCACTTCCTTTAACTTGTTTTTGCCCATATTTCCTCCAATTGTACCCATCATCTGATCTTCTACTTAAGGTCTGAGATTGTTGGGGGTAGTTGCCATAATCAGATTGAAACCCATTGTTATGGTTAGTTTGGACACTAGCTATCTCAGGAGAAAAACTCTGCATGGAAGAATTGTTTTCAGTTTTCATCATACCCTTCCCTGAAGAATAACCATCCTGTTTTGTGGCTTCCTGAAAACTCCATGGTGGTGGTGGTTGCTGTTACAATGCATTCAACAAGGTACTTTAGAGAAGAGAAGAAACCACGAAGAGAAAAAACAAAGGCTTTGCTTTAAATTAGTCTATGCATTGAAATTTGTCACATACTGTTTGAACTGAAACGGTTGAAGATTGAAATGTTGTTGTGGATGTAGCAGGAGGTCCTGGTTGGGTTTGGAATGAGAAATTCGAGAAGCTTTTGTCTTCTTCTTTCACAATTCGCTGGTTTTGGCCAGAACTGTTCTTCCAGTTGAAACTCTGAGCAGCAAATGCCCCAGTTGTTGGAGATGGCAAAACCTGTATTGAGAAAAACCCAAAAGAACACAAACCCATTTATCAAACAGCAACAAAAACCAACTTGATAACACTAAGAATCACAAACCACTAAACCAGAACAAAGCACCAAAAAAACAGAAATTATCATTTATAACATCTAAACCATTGAACAAATATCTAACACAATGAAATTCTCAAGTCATGGTCAATTACTTGAAAGAACAAAAAAAAAAATCATTTTCCTTAGTTCAAAATTTTGTTAACAAAGCAAGCAAAATAAACAAGACCCAAAAGAGAGAACCACATGAAACTCACGTTAGAAGAGTTAAGAAGAACCGGTGAGTCAAGAAGTTCAGCAGGGCTCAAACCAGGTGGAATAGCAAAGTAAGAAGAAGGAGAAACAGGTGGAGGGGAGAGAGGCAAAGAAGGGGGTGGTGTGGACTTAAACTTTGGCACCCCAGAAGCACTTCTATGATCAGACAAACCTTGTGATTTGTTATCTGTGAAAAGATCAGAGAAAGAAGTGGTCATGAATGGGTGTGTTGAGAAGGTGAAGTTGGTGTAAGAATTTGCAGAAGTGTCTAAGCTACCAGAAGAAGAAGCCATCAGGTGGAGTGGAAAGAAAAGCTTTGAAATTGAGAAATGAAAGGGTTTAATATAAAGAAGCAGAGTGAGAGAGGTGAAGAAGAGAAAGAGGGTCACCTACGTATTGCACAAGGCTTTGGTTTCTATTGGGCAACGATATTTCTGAGAAGCTAAGAAATGAAGCCATGCTTTGACCGTGGAAAATTTTGCCACCATGTATTTTTTTCCCCTAAAAATTTTGCTTTTTTCGGTCAAAGCTCGTGGGTTTGACTGAATGGCGGCTACCACTGGGATTTGCTTCTGTATTTCACTTGCTTGGGTTAATGCAATGTGCAATGTGGGTTCTGCAGAGTGCAGAAGCAGAAACCTTCTCTTTCTACAGTTGGAGAGCTACCCTTTAGCCACGGTTATACATGTTAAGTTTGGATAAGTTAAACACTGTTTCTTTTTTTCTTTTTTCTTTTACTTTTTATGATATATTTTGGATAATTTTGTGAGATTGTGTAACGAAAGATGCTTTGTTTTAAAAGCATATGTACCGTGACCAAAATGCTGACTTATTTGATGAAAGTAGCCGTGAATCAATTATTTATTCCGTGAATATTGAAATTATTCTCCCTTGCCACGGATATTTGTCTTTTAAACTTATCTGTAATGGATTTTGGACAAAAATTTGGAACACATCTAGCTTTACACATGATTTGGTCTCAAACGAGCACATCGTTTAATAGAGGCGAGAAAAGGAAAGAGATAACAGAAGAAAAATATAAAAACCTGTCGTTATATCTTTAGAATGGATAAAAATTATGTTTTTACTTTTATTTCATTTATTATAACCAACTCATAATTATAGTTCCTTGATATGTTTTTACTAATAATTTTTTAAACATTTTAATCAATACTTTTGCAACAAATATTAGAATTTAAAAAAAAAAATTTACCCGTGTACAAATTTTTTTTCTAATATTCACGTAATGGGATGTCCGAAAATTGGAAATAACGGTAAAACACTAGGAAGAATAACCCTGGCATCATTTGTAATGTCAAAAGTCGTCGTGTCAGCGTGTGGTTTTGAAAAGTACCAGGACGTGAAAACTTGACTTGCTCGATTGCTCCAAAAATATGCAAACAACATACATCATGCGTAGATATTTACATTTTTTAAATAAATTTTATTTTATCAATCCAGGCTGTTTAATAATTTTATATATTTTTTTATTATATATTAAATTTTATATAATTTAAATATATATATATATATATATATATTATTGAGAATTTATTATTTTCTTATATTTAAAAAATAATATAATAAAGTATCTATTAATTTATTTATGTATAAAATAATGTTGTATAAATATAAATTTTATAATTTAATATTTAAATTATAATTTTATATTATTTTAATAATTTATATTAAACTTTGTTAAAATTAAATAATCATAATATATGAATATAATTAAAAGGTTTATTTTTATATATTTTAAAGTAAATATTATGTTAACTTTGATATATATATATATATATATATATATATATATATATTTTAAAGTAAATATAGAATATAACTTTATTACATGTGTTTGTGGAGAATAATAAATAAATAAATAAAAAGCATGACAATATAATTTCTACGTCAAAAGTCCAAAAAGTGAGTAAAGTAAGAAACATATTTTAACTACTACATTTATGCTACGAGTACATATTTGCTACAATTGTGGGCTTTGTAACTTAATATAGAAAACTAAGATCTTTTAGCTCTTCTACTAAATATATTTTGTAAATCAGTTTATGAATTTTGCAAGGAATCCTGAAGGATTTTGAAAATTTTAAACGTTCTTTCTTTTGTTGCATTATGTATTCCAAAATCCAACATAAAAGATCGCAACAAGAGCATATTTTAAAGGCAGGCATTGGAGAATTCTTATGGTATCAAGAGAAAAACCGCTTATTGAGGAGAGTCACTGCAAGGTAATTTAATGTAAAGTTGAAGAGTACTGCAAGACTCTTGTGTGATTGAAATAATTCCATTATTGATGATGAAAAAAAATGGCCATTCTTCGTGTGTGTGAGTTGATTGATTAATAAGTGAAATTATAAGACAAACCAAGTCCAAGATTATTGAATGACCAAACTATTATTCTTCATTTTTTATCAGTGACTTGATTAACTAGAGGTAGGACCTGTGTTTGGAAAAAGAAATCAATTTAATTTCAAGGAAAAAGAAACGCAAAGCAGCAAAAAACTCTTTAAGAAATTAGCATTTGTCCAAATTTTCGAACAAAATTATTATAAATTGAGACAACCTCTTATTATCTAAATACTTTTTCCTTTTTAAATTTCTTATGAGACAAAACATGAGATTTGATTAGGGATTATTGAGATAACCTCTGTTGTTTAACTGTTTTCTTTCTTTAATTTTTTTGCAAATATAATATTCATTAGTAGTTTTTGAGGAAATTATTTTTTAGAAAATTGTCTTATGTTATTTTTGATAAGGCAAACTTGCTTTTGATCATCTTATCACTTGGATCACATTCAGATCTCATATACAGTATATTTCACTTTCTTTTCTTCTTCCTGTGGTGTTTCGTATGTCCTCCCATCTAGACACTTTAAATCTCAATGTACATTCCCTCGTTTTAAATCCTCATCCTTCTCACATGGAATCTATATATCATGAGATTCCACAATGACTTTTCTTTGTGGTGGGATTCTCTGTCAGCATACAAATACAATCATTATTTGTTGGATACTTAACGTTAACAACCAAATTAAATTTATATTTATATTTTGTATAATATCAAGATAAAATTATAATTTTACCATACTTTTGCCATTAACATATCAGGTATATTTATTGTTGAACTAAAATTCAGTAGATTTCATCTTCACATGTCTTATGTCACTTCTCTCATTTAAGACTTTATTTGTTAGTTAGTTGGAGAGTAGTGGAAAGGGAAAGAAGAAAAATATTTATTAAGTGACTTATATTGTTTGAAAGTTTTGAGATGTGAAGTTTATAAACTTTCTTAAACTTATGTTTTTAATTTTTTTTTATTTAAATAATTTTTTATTAATTCTCATTTCTTCTTTCTTACCTTTCCCCTTCATAATTTTTTCTTTTTTTCTCCTTTAAATTTTTTATCAAAGTCTAAGAATATCATCTCCACCTCCACCGTAGAACATTGTAAATAAGCTAACAAAATTATTATAGGTTTGTTATTTGTACTAGCAAGATAAATATTAGTGTTGAGCAAAAAATTCAAATACAAAGATTTAATCTACAATCCAAGCCAAACTAGTTTTAAAATTCAAATTTTTAATAAAATTGAATACCTAACTCGCTTATTTTTCATTTTTTTTTTGTTTATACATGTTTTAGATCTCACTTAACAAAATCATATTTTGTTTACCAAAATCGGATACTTTGTTTATTCTCTTCTTTGTTATTTAACAAGACTAGGTCCAACCACGCATTTTCAATCAAATATTCTATGTTGCATACTATTAATGCCAAAATTAGGTCAGTTTAGAAATAATAGGAATCAGTTCTTTATCATAATACAAAAGTGAGCATCTAAAATTTCCACGAGATCCTTGCCTTTGGTTATGGCATAGTAGTGGTTAAAATTTGATCTACAAGAGAACCACCATGTCTTTGAAGTGATAGTTATGTAATTTTTTGACTATATCTAAAAGAAACTTTTATCTCCATTTCATTGCATGAAATATAAGGATCATGTTAGTGTTAAATGAACAATTTTTTTCCTCGTTCATGCTTTATACACTAAACATGTTAATGAATAGCTAAGCATTAATTTCTAGTGTAGATTAAAATGAGTTTAACCAAACAAGTAAATAAATTGTAGTAAAGATAAATTTAGAGCATGTTGTGGCTAGTTTTTTTTTTCTCTTATTTTTTCTTTATCAAGGTATCTAAAATGACACTAGCGAAATTAAGAGATTTTCTCAATTGTCATTGGTACCCTGCTTTTCCATTAAAACTATTACAACCGTGTTCTAATTACAAATCAACTTTCTATTTTATACATTACAGGACTGAAATAGATCTTAAAATAAGATGTTTTGAAATAAAAAATTAAATTTGTCTAAAATATTAGATTTAAAACGATTTTCAACTAAAATCAACCTTAAAAATGATTTAAACCAAAATCAAATTTAAAGCCAATTTTAAAATAAATCTAAATTCTATTTGAATAATATAAAATAAATTAATTTAAAATCCAATTCATATAATTAAATTTTAATTTTATTTGGATTAGTTTTGTGTTAATCCAATCCAATGCATGCATAGTTAAAATAAATATTAATTTTAATATTGAAATCCTTTTACAAACAGTGATAGAATTGGAAAAACTTGAATTATTCATGTTGAACTTCAGTCTAAGGTTTAATTAGAACAAGAAGCTTCTTAGTCTTCCAGCTGAATAAAGAATGGGGTACTAAACAACTCATTAAGCTTTGTTTAGAAATTAATTTAAAAAAAAAGAGAAAATAAAAAAATTTATGTAATGATAATCTTTATTTGATAATTTGTACACAAAAAAATAAGGTATGTTATAATTCTTCCTAAGTTCATATTTTTAAGTTTATCCAATTTAAACTTTATTTAAAAATTTGAAAGAAAAGAAAATGAAATCATTTTGAAAGTTAAAAGAAGAGAGTTAATAAAAAAAAACTGTAAAGTTGAAAAATTAAAAATATAATATTAAAAAGATTTTAAATAATTTATAAAGTCTTTCATTTTCATCTAAAATTTTTTAAATAACAATAATGACATAAATTTTTTTATTTTCGTTCATTTTTTCTAAAAATAACTCTTAAAAATTTGCATTGTTGAAGTAAAAAAAAAAAAAACATTGATGCATGCATTCAACTACAACATTTTTATCCCCTGTGCAAGATTGGATCAGATGAAAATGGTGATTGTCATTGGCAGGAAAAGGAAGTTGGGCACTTAATCGACGTTAATTTGCATTTTTCAACGCGCGGAATAGTGGGAAAGGTGAGAAAGAAGAAATGAAGAAAATAAGAAAGAATATTAGGAAAAAGTTAAAGTTGAAGTTGGAAAAATGAAACGTTGGATTATTGGATTAGATTGATCCAAGTTGGTGCGCAATCTATTCCCTCTAAGCAAAATATATTTCTAGAAGACCAAATGCTGGCTTCCTCAATCCCAAACTTTATTCACTCAAATTAATTTTAAATTATTACATATAATTAAAATATTATATATATCAAAATGTATATTTTTTTTAATTAAAATGTATGTATATTATTATTATAAAAAATATTAATGTTACATGCAAACTTTTTTACATGAATTGTCATGCGTTTTTATTTGAGTAGTTAACTAATAAAATAAAAAATATATAATAATTATAAATTTGACAGAAAATCATGACTGGTATTGGGCAAGCTATTTTTGTTACTTTTTTTCTTATCTTTTTTCGTTTGTATTTATTAATATTTTTCAAAGAATAAATTAAATTAATTTATCAGTAAATTAATAAATTTAATTTAACTTATATTTAATACAGGTTAAACTAAAAATTCTCAATAAATTATAGTTATTTTCATCTAACGTATTTGACTTTAAATTTGAGTGAAAAAAAATGTACAATTTATTGTCTCGTTTTCAGAAACGATGATTAATTTAGATTTGTTCGATTGATTTTATTCAATAAGTTACTTTATACTTTCTAAACTCTGAGTCATAACTTCGCTTAAAAATATCCAGATGGAGATGCAAAATGCTAACATACTTAAAGATAAGTAAAACTTTTGACTAGAAAAGCATGAGTAAAACTAAGTCAACCATCTAACTTTGTTGGTTAATTATAATAAAAATATATTTAGGAGTAAATCTTAAAAAAGAAAAGGAGAGGTGATAAATTTATTATTTTTAAATTAAATGACATATATATTCTAAAATGAATAAAATAAAATATTAAATTTATATTAGTCTATTACCAAAATAATTTTTTATCCTAAATAGTTATTATTTAATTGAAAAAGTTAAGTTTTTAAATTAAATTTATATAAGTATATAAAAGAAAAGAGTAAGTATCTTTTAATATAATTTATTAAATTTGAATACTTATATTATTTAATAATTGTTTTATTAAATACAAAATTGATCAATTTAATTGTTGTTTAAATATTTTTATTAAATAGATTAACTTTGTAAAATTTTATATAAAAGTAAATTTGATTAAAACGTTATCATATTAATTTAATGATCATATTTTTTAAATATAAATAAATAAATAAATTTTAAATAAAAAATTTATAAATATTCAAATAATATGAAATTTAATATACGTGTCATAAAAATAATATAAAATAATTTAACAGTTGAACTTTTTTATCTTATATTTATGAAAAAATTAAATAAATGTAAATATTTAAATCTAACACTTAGAATTATATATAATTTTTAGGTTAAGAATGAATTTTATATGAATTTATTTATTTTATTTTTTCACTTAACTAACGTGATCACTTCTACTTTGATTGATTTTGTATTAGCCATCTAAAAGAAAATTTCATATTTAAATGTATAGTTTGAGAAACTTGTCTTAAATTGAGTTTGGAATAAATACTTTATTGGCTTAAATCTTAAAAATAAAATTGGATTGTTGAATAATTTTTTTATTATTTCTTTGCTTATACCTTAGACTTTTTTAAAGATTTAAATATTTAATTTGAGAAAAAGGATGAGTATCAACGAATTGGATTCTAGATAAATTAAAAAAATAATAATTTTAATTGAAAAAAGTATATTTAAATTGAAAAATATATATATATACAAAGAAAGTCATTTAGATGAATCTAACTCTAGCTTTTATCAATATTATTGTATTTCAATAAAAAGTTGTTTACATCCTTAATTCATACTCATTTTACTTTGATTTATTTTCTTTATGATTTATTGATTCGATAATGAAAATATAAATATTAATTTATTATAAAAACGTATACCCTTAAAAAATAATTCTTTTAATATTTAATTATCAATTGAATATCTTACTTAGTCTAAACAATAAAAATATAAAAGAAAAGAATATTTAGATCCTATCTTCGTAAGAACATCTTTTTATTGTAGAAAATAATTACTGTACTTAAACAATATTTTAATAAACCAAAATTCTTCGTTTATTGTCTGACCATGACCGAAGAAAATGAAGTGAAATGAAAAACCTCATTATATGCACAGAAATGGTTATCCAATCCTTTGTTTTATCACAGCATTATAAAATAAGTATTGTTTTGTCCCATTTAAAGAGACAAACACCGCATTTATCTTTATAATATACTCCACATAGCTGTAGTACTCTCAAGTAAACGTCCATCTAATCGCCCTGATTTGTTAGTGCCAACTTGCCACTTTACATAACATCTAGAAAGAAGCAGTGAAGTTGATAAAGTTCATGTTGGAAGATAAAGAGGTATTAAAAGCACCATTACACCCTTTATTGACTCGCCTAATTGCTTTATAAATTACAATTTTAAATTTAAGCAGTTAAATGACATTATCAAAGTCCTCTTCACTGAACAGGAAAACGTGTTTCCTAATAATTCCTCATCACACCAGATGGGTCCAGAAGATTGAGGGTGAATTAATTGTATAATTATGCTTCACACTGTTATTCGTCTTTTTATATCATTATCATCAAAAGGAAAGGCGCGCGATCCCATTAGACTAATTGCTTTATAAGTAAAATATTAAAATTATAATGAAATATCTACATTTTTGTTATTTTATTAACTTTTTAACTTTTAATTAATTATAAACACTGTACCCGTACAAAAATTCTATTGTACGAGATATCTTAACTTTAATTTTTCCCTGAAATGTAAAGTATGTTTTAGATAATAATTATTAATTTTAAAATTAATGACTAGATATGTATATGTGTAAATTTATAAAATAACAAATTATTAAGTATTTTTTAAAGCTTTATTTAAAAGTTTGAAAAGAGAAAGAAGAAAAAAATTTAAAAGATGAATAAAAAAGAAGAATAAGGAGTACGAAGACGCTTACTACAAAACTACTCACATTAGATGACTTTAAAATCGTGAAGTCATGAAGATGTAGAAAGTTTGTAAATCATTTTCTTCTTCTTTAAAAATTTTTAAATAAAAATAATTATCACATAAGTTATTTTTTTTATCTTAAAAACTAACTCTGCAAACAAAGTATAAATCTATTTAATTATATATATTTTACATTTCTTTAACATACATATGTGCGCACACACATAATTAGGAAAACTTAAAATCATGAAATTAGAGGGTTTATAAACTCTCTCAATCTCATCTAAAAACTCAAATAATAATAATCATTATATAAAAATGTGTGTTTCACAATTGAAAAATATTTCAGATATTCATAAGAATGAGTTTGTAAACTCAATAAAATGAAAAAACGTGAAAGGAAGGATCCCCTTCCAACTCCATTTATAAATAAACCCCTCTCCTTCTCCCTCACGGTACAATGTTTATTAAGTATGACAAGAGTTTATGTTATTCTCACTTTTCAGCTTTTAAATATTTATAAACATTATTTCTTCCATGGGTCGACTTTTGAAGTTTTTAATTTTCAAAAACTTTCAACCTCCTTAAACGTGTCTCTAAACCACACAGGGCTGACCACTTTGAACGCCTAAGTATTTCTTTATTTTTTAACTTCATAAAGCACTTTAATGTTCTGCCATAATTTTTTATTCCCTAGTATTTTTTTCCCCTTTTTCTATTTTAATTCTTGATTAATTATGTGATATAAATCTATGCTAGCGATAGTAAAATGTAAGAGATATAAAATTAATTCACTTCAGAATTCTTCCACACTTGGAAGTGAGAAAGCATAGTTAACCTGCATAAGCATTGATAATAACACCTTCACACTCAAATGTGGGGTGTAATTTAGGTGGAAAGAAAAAATATAAAAAAAAGATAAAAAAATACTGTTAGGGATGAATCTAAGCACTATTCAATGATGCCCTTCTAGATTTAATAAATTGTCGTATTTGGGCTGTGGGGCGAATTCTCTTATCGCCAAGAACGGGTCAAATATCAATATTCAAACTCCCCAACCCATTAATCGACTCCCCAAAGTATCATAAGATAAAAACTACTTCGCTCCAAAAAATAAAAAGATAAAAAATACTTCAAAATAATTTTGTCCATTGATATTTTTTAACGGGAAATAGAGAGACTCCTAATCTCATGACTCAACCAAAGATCTAATCGTTTCAAAAAGTAAGAAAGGTATTAAGTTAAGGCTAGTGCATTAGCATAATAACAATAATAATATTAAAAATATTAGTTAAACAATTAAAAATAAAATTTGTTTATTGAAAAGTATAATAATATACTTTTCTTGTAATTTACAATGCATTTCAGACATAATTTACATTAAATTTTATATATTTATTTATTTGTTAGATATTAGATAAGGGGACCTGATCATAATAACACAATCAGCTGGGTTTACGCGTTTTCTAATTTTCAGAAAGCTTTTGCATTCAACAAGAAAGTGAGTGCATACTATATTTCCTATGGGGGCCTCCATAAAGCTGCGAAATACACATGAAAACAATGTATTGCATCAGCTTAGCGTTGATGTAACACACACATTACAGTAATTCTTATTGCCAATAGAGAAGGGTCTTGACTTTTGACCCAGGGAATTATTTTGAACCTGTCAAAATACTATGATTTGGGGACAATTGAGGCTTATTATATCCATTTTGACCATTAATGTTTTTGAAAAGCCAACAATGGAAATCTTTGACCGTTGTTTTTGTTCCATTCTTCCTCCTATGTTGAGACAAACAAGCCTATCGGCTACAATTTGTCACTTTTAGTTGTTAATTTCTGAATGGCCATACAAAGATTTGGCATAACACCTTTCTTGCCAAAAATCCTGGGACTTTCACTTCCTAACTAAAATTTACCAGTAAAAAATAAGCATTCAAATCTTTTGTGAAGCCATTTACCAATATAACTGAAGCTTTGCATTTGTATGATCCTTGATGAATTTGTTTCTGGCAGGCTCTGCATACTAACAAGCCTTTTATTTCTACTTATTGAGCTTACCTATTCCTTCCAGTATGTAGCTTCCATCTTTTTGGATCTATTCCAAACTGCCACAAATATGCGTAACTTTTAGTAAGATATGCTAGATATTAGTAAAACAGAATGTTAATAATATCTTTTAATGTCGTTTTGAAATTCAAAGAAAAGATTTTAAAATTTCAGGTTTAGTTGAGAATGCAGAACAGTCAAGTTTTGCATTAAACATGTCCATTTTATCTGTTCCTTAATCTTGTAATGTCTGAGTCTGACATAATTTGTGACTTATATTTTTTTCAGTGAGCTCAAATCTTTTCCCCCATGAAAGACATATATTAATCATAAACATGAAGCACGAACAAGTTGAGATATTCCCACCAAGTAAATTTTCATCTAAGGGCATCATATCTATTCCTTGAAAATACACATAAAGCCAGCCACCAAATAGAACTCATTTCCATACGATTATTATTGTTGTCTTTGAAAAATAAGCTATGAATGGAATTGAGGTATGTCTTTTATGAAAAGTTTGATGTGATGAAAGCGATAAAATTGGAATCTTGTGTGACTAAGTGAATGGCAATGAAGCTGCTAGTTTTTCATTTTCCTGGGTTGTTCAAAATGAATTTTATATTCCAATAGCCAACATCCATAAATAAAGAACTGCTTTTCTATCTATTATCGCAGTTAGATCAACACCTTATAACTGAGATTGATGAAATTCAATTTATGGCATAGCAATGTAACGGATCTTGTGGTCTTAAAACACCAAATTCAAGGGTTAATGTTTTATCACAGACTATTCCTGAATGTGAATAGCTGCAAATAAGCAGGGGGAATACCTGAAAGTTTCAAATGCCTTTTCCCTCCAAACTAGCACACAACCACGAGCTTCCATGTATTGTAGAATTTGTTGAGGTAGTAATGTCTGAAAGGAAGTGTTTAACTTCACTTTAGTCAAATTTTGACAAGCTAAAAGGACAGCTGCTAGCCCATTTGATGTTAAGCCCTCCAAGTTAAAGATGGATATATGCTGCAAGCAGCTTATGCTAGCAAGTGCAATGAGTCCCATATCTGTTACTGAGCAATATGACAACTTTATCTGCAATTCAAATAAACCAATGCAAGTTAGTTTTTATATAAACTTGATGGCATATTTGACATCTTAATGCATCCACATCATACACTAGTGTTATCATAATAAATACTGGCATACAAATAATCTCCAAAAGTTTTGGACTACTAAGGAATAGAACCTTGCCTGTTTGAGATTTTGAGAATGTTGAGCCAATTGAATCATTCCACTATCATTGATTTTATAGCACTTTTTGATGTCCAGCATCTCAAGATGCCTACACTTGACGGCAATATTTGAGAGACCCGCTGGTGAAATTTGTGGGCACCCTCGAATTTCCAGGGTTCTTAGCTTCAGGCATTTTGAAAGCGACACTAATGAAGTATCTGTCACGTTATTGTTATAAGCAATGTTAATGACCTCTAGTGATGGGCAGCCAAGGGAAATTGCAGTAATTCCCTCATCAGTTATTCTTGAGCTCCTGTGAAATCAAACGCTGTACACTTTTAATTGGAGAGAACAAAACGAAAATTTCCAAAAAATCATAACTAAGTAAGATAGAATCACCATCTAAAGATTCTAAGAAATTGTCAACTTAAGATGATATTGTATAATGTCTATGACTATAAGCAGCCAATGCTACATTGCATTGCAGTTTACATTTATTCATAAATAAGTTCCATGAAGCCTTTTCACTCATCTCACTTCAATAATGAGGTAAGTCATGCTGGGGATTTACTCCAATTAAAAATTAAATTGTGTTTAAACGTTACAAAGTTGAGAGATAAGAAACCTGTAGAGATCAAGATGTTTGAGGTCTGAACAACTGTTTGCAATATGCTTTAGTCCATTATCAGTTATCTTCAAACATAAGCCCAACTTCAGGCTAGAAAGTTTGGTACATCGTGAGATAGACACAAGCCCTACACAAATCAAGAAGCATAAATCATGCACTGAAAGTAAACATTATATGAAGTAAATGTGAGGTTGAAAATGCACCTTCATCATTAATTTCAGTATCTGTGACATCTAATTCCTCCAATAATTGGCACTGTCCAATAAACAAAAAAGCATCTCTGTTGACCAAGCTACAAGACTCCATTCTAAGGGAAGTGAGCCTTGAACATGAATTTGTTAGGCAGTATATGGATGCATGTGTTATCTTGCGACAGCATGTTATGTCTAACTTCTCTAGATCTTTGTGTCTTTGCACAAGGTATGAGAGACTATCATCAGTGACTGCAACACATTTACTCAAGTTCAATTCTTTGAGTGAGGCGCACAAATTACCAATGGCTTTTAACCCTGAACTTGTACCCACACTACAATCTAGTTTAACCAATTGCAGCCTTGGAAAACTTTGCAGACATTTTGCAAGATCAATAGTAACCTGAATACAATAAAAATGATTAACATTCAGGGTAAGGCAAGGTCCGTAAAATGGTTACCACAAAAATAATTTAAAAGATTCAAAACTTACAGCCAGGCTGTATGATAGGATAAGCTTTTCTAAGTTGTGAGCACCATTTGTAAGAGAAGTTAAGCCAATATGACTAATGTTTTGACATTTTGACAAGTTAAGCATCTGTCGTAAACAGGAAAACATCAGTTTTAATGTTAGATGTTTGATGAAGATGATAGAAAAGCAATAAATACTATTCATTAAATATTGAAAATCACAAGCATTTCAATCAGTCCTCTTTGACTTTGTTTTGACAACAATGTTACTTTTCCTATTAAAAGTGGAAAAAAAAAAAAACATAAATCAAATGAAAAATTAGTGAATAGAAGTATTTAAATTTGTACTGGATGAGATGGACCCCGCAAGGAAACGGAGAACCGAAAGGGGTACCTTACCTTCATCGACTTGCAGCTTGCTTTAAGGGTTGCAAGGCCCTCATCATCAATGCCAAGGCAGTGCTCAAGAACCAAATCTTCTAGATGTTTTAATTGGAGGATATGATGAAGACATTTTTCCGTGATCTGCAACATCAACGAATTGAATATTGAATTATTAGTGTCGGTGAAAATTCCTAGTTGTGAAGAAAATTCACTATAAAACTGCACATACGCATGCTTCCACATTAGCCAGAGAAAAGGCTAGATGTATATGCTACTGCTTCAACACAATGTCAGAAGTAATAAATAATAAATCAATGTAGGCTACACAGTCATCTTTACGAGCTGACTTTATCAGCATAACATGATATTTACATCAAATTCCAACATACAAATCACTATACTAAAGCAACCAATCATCTCAATCAATATTGGTCAAATGTTTACCATTGAATCACCAGAGTGAAAGATTAAATCCACATCATTCCACAGATTTAATCGATCACACTAACAAACACTCACGAAACATCAAACTACTACATCAAAAGAATCATATTAAGTCAACCAACCATCTCAATATCCATGAAAACGACAGAAAGATGAAGCTATTGAACATTGAACAAGACATGATTACCAAAACAGAGAAATAAGAAAAAAAAAAGGGAAAAAAAAGTGTGATCATTTTTCATAATCATTAAACATCCAAATTAATTCTAATTCAGCTATCAAAAAGGGGTACAGACAAAAAAACAGTTACCGGCAAGTAAGAAAGATCCAAACTCCGAATCTGCTTGCATTTTATAGCAATCAAACCAACCCCAAAATCAGTGACACCAATACACCATCTCAACCCGACATGCTTCAACTTACTACACTTAACAGCTATGCACCCAATTCCCAAATCCGTTATTGACTTACACCTTCCCAAACACAACCTCTCCAAGTTCACAGCTTCTGCAATTTCCCTAGCTGCCAAGTCAGTGAGGTCTGTTCTATTAGATAAATTGATCTCAACCAAGCACGTGCAGTTCAAGGCCAAAGCAGACAACCCCACGTGTGTGAAGAATCTCGACCTTGAAAGGTCAATGGATCGCAGGGAAGAGTTCCAAGCCAGTGAAAGAGTGTTCAACATGTCATCATCTACACAAGGACAAAGGGTGAAATCAAGGTGTGAGATGAAAGGGTAGCGATGAATGATTCTTGGAAGAAACTCAAGGCGACGTGGCTTGAGTTGTGTGCGGTGTGTGGATTCAAGGGTGTGGAATGACTTGCAAACTTGAGAGAATGATTTTGTCGCAAAAGGGTCATCGTGAAGATGGTCAAGGATCATGGAAATGAGTTCATCTGTGAGAAAGTTGAAAAAATTGGTGATGGGTGGTTCCACCATCTTCTTCTTGTTGTTTGGAAATGGAATCTATCTATATGAGGGTGTTTTGTGGTGAAGGAGCATGGGAATGTCAATGGAACGTGGAAGATTTTAGGTGTTAGATATCATATAACCGTTATTACAAAACAGTGTTCTGCGGCGGAAATGGGTAGTTTCCGTTGAAAGTGGAAACCTTTGAGTTTGGTCTTAGAGAACGAGGAACGTGTCAGTGTCAGATCACAATGTGCTGACTTTGGCTTGGATGGTCATACTTTCGTTATGACCAAATTACCCTTGTTGTAATTTTTTAATTGTTATTTTTGGTTGGCGAGAACCTAGAAAATATTTTTAAAATATCAATTAGGTCTAAAGAAATAATGCCTTTACAAAATGGTTATTTGCAATTTATATTTTTATTAAGAGCTATTTAAGGTTGATTCAGTTAATAAAAGTTATATTTATATTAGATAAGGACGCGAATTCAAATTTGTAAACGTTTATGTATTAAAAAGCCTTGTTGTTGATGAAATAAGATTGCTTGCTAAAGGATGCTTAATAATGGATGTTATTGGAATAAGATTGTTTCCTAAAAGATGCCTATAAAAACTATAAAAATGAAAAATAAAAACTTTATTCGCATGGAGAAATGGAGCATAACTTTTATACAGTATAAGAAGATAGGATTTCATCAAATTACAGTATATTATTATTATTATTATTATTATTGGGTAAAGTGAAAGGAAGTAAAAATTAGAAAGCATGGATATATTGGGCATTGCATAACAGTGGAAGTTAATGGTATGTGGTGAAGTGGGTATCTGAGGAAGGGTGGTACAACTCGAATTGCACATGGTACGGCGCACCATAGATGAGATGTTATTCAGTCAATCATGTGATGTTTATGCTTTTTCGCAAGCACAAGGAAGCAAACCAATCAATTTTCGATTAGTGTCTTCTTTCACACACAAATTCTCGTGTACCTTTCACGTACTTGCCTTTTGCTTTATGGAAAGGTGAATTATAACATATTAACATGGAATTTGGAAACTGTTTTTGTAAACAATGTATTTAATATTTCATTTTTATTCTCTATGGTTTGCTTCAAACTTTATAGGATCAAAGTCCCTTTAAAAGGTTTCATTTGAGCACCCTCATTTAAATAATTAATTACATATTTTATATAAAAAGAAAATTAGTGATATTAGCATCTTAGATCAGAAAAACAAAACAAAATCCACTTAAAAGCTATACTTGGAGTAAAAGGCAAGTTAAAATCAAGATGCATGTGTCAGGCCATAACAAAAGAATACTATTGAAAGGAATTTTTACTTTTTTTTTTAGGAAAGGAATATTTACTTTCATGTGGATTGGTCATTTATTTATTACTAGTAAATACGAAGCTATTTGCGAAAACTAATTAAAATTTGATAAATAATATTTTTTTTATCAAAAAAGTCATATTAAAATGTATTGAAAAGCGAAAATAAGCGCATGCATTTTTGTATTTTTAACAAAATATTTTTTTTAATTTCTTAATCAGTCAGACACTGATTAATATTATCTAAAACTGAAAACTCACATTAAAAGCATCTTCAAAGTACCAAATGTAAAGGATTAGTTTCCAACTTTGTATTCAAAGAAAAAAGTTTTCATATGCTGTGTTATTAAGTTTTTCTAAAAATGATAAATTCTCTACTTTGTCTTCTAAATATTAAGTTCCATTTCATTAATCATTTTAATTTTTTATTAAATAAGTCATATTAAATATTAATTGTTATCATGCTAATCTTTTGATTATTTTGTTATTAAATTAATCACTTACAAAGCAATTATAAGATCCATCTTCTTTACTCGAGTTGACATAATAATATAAAGTTTCATATTCTTTGTGTGTTAGAAATATTTATTTAGTAAAAACTGTGGTTGTTTGAACTCCATCATGTAATTACAAATTGCAAACAGAAATTAATTTTGAATTTTTAAATTTTAGCGATACATGTGGTCCTTAAAAGGATATCTTTATTAATTTACATTTTTTCTCAGAATCTTGTTAGACACCAAAGTCCTTTGATTCAAAGATGGTGATTGGATAAAACTTTTTTCCAAGTGATAATTTTAAGAGGTGAGTTCCTAATTTACAAGTAAAGTTTACCTAGTTAATTATAATTTACTTTTCAAAATGATCGACCCTTATTGGTGAATTAAAATTCAATTAAAATACACAAAAATAATCTTTAATTATCAGCTGAAAGATATTTTTGATACACACATCAAATAATAAAAATACAAGATATCAACTCTCATTCAAAAGTCAGGTGACTTTTTATCATATATTTTTATATTTTTATTGATTACATTATTTGTCTAAATTTAAATTTAATTTTAAAATTTTAAAACATCATATCAAATTAAAAGATATAAACATAATTTATATAGATTCAAACAATTTTTTTATAATTTCTTCATCAATTTTAAAAATAATATTTTTAATTTATTTTCATCTAATAAAATGAGATCTTCATTACTAATAATAAAAATATATTTTATCATCTTATTTTTTAAAAAAATATATGATTTCATAATTCTTTAATAATAATAATAATAAAAAGAATAATTTTTGGCAATATGTTTATATTTATGATAAATATAATTTTATTATTTCACACATATATTATAATATTAAATATTTTATTTAAAACAGAAAAAAAATCTATCATATGGTGTATAAAATTTATAATGAGATGTGTAAATTTATTTCTTAAATAAATATAGTATTATTTAGCTATTGTAACTTAAATTTTGTTTTATGAGTACAATGGAAATTTTTTTTTATTTTTATATTATAATATGCACATCAATAGCAAAAGAACAAATGACAGTGTGGTTTACCCATGCATGAATGATGTATGGGGGAGAAGCTATCTGGGGTCGAATAGTAGGGCTCCAAGTGTCTTTATGATTTTTGTGAAGCACCATATCCACACCACACAAGGAAATCAAAGGATCTCTATTACACTCACTGTACCCATTTATATCAAATTTTTCAACAACATTTTTCTATATAAGGGATGATAATCTAAGATTCTAATAAAATTGAAAATATTCTCAAGAATCTTTTGACCATACAAAACACTTTTATAACATTTTCAAAATATGATTTTTAAGAAACTTAGGAATAAAAAGAAATCGTACATACCAAGCTCTCCTCCCCCCACCACCATTTATGTACATATTTATAACCACCATTTATATACATATTTGTAAAAAAAAAATTATAAGTACCCCCAATTTGCCAAAAGTAAAAAGCTATGGCTTAGAGGCAAGGAAATTAAAAGCGTCTCTAAAGTACCAGATGTAAAAGATCAATTTCCAATTTTGAATTAAAAGGCTTTTCATTAACATAAATCCTATACTTACCCTCAAAAAATTAAGATGTCATTGCATTCCTTAGAATATTTTTACGGCTAAATTAATCTTTAAAAAAAATAATTAAGCATCATAACAGTAGTCCACCAATGCCTTTTGCCACCAAACTAATCTCTCAGAAATTAAATCAGTTATTCATTGTCTTTTTATGACTTATGAGAATGAATAGTGACATTTTAATCTTTAAACGACTAATTAAGTTTCATATTTGAAAACATAATGCAATAACACATTCATCTTTGAACTTATTTAATAACGAATCTTTCGAAAGCAAATGTGATAACACACTAGGTTTAAATAATCATGCAGAGTTTACTCTTTTATCCTGTTTGGGCAACTCGGTGGTAAGGAAGACCCAAGCATGAAACCGGAAGAGAATAAAACTTGCAAGAACAGTAGAAATTGGCGTATAATCTAGGCTGATCAAATAAGTAGCTATCTTACAAAGCTAAAAAGGTCATATAATTTTGAAAAAGTTAAAAAAAAAAGGACATGTTTTACTGAAAATTAAAATAAACCACATACAATCAATAGACGCTATTCCGGGACTCTCAATATTCTCACAAATGTGGGTAACACTCACTTTGCTTGCTGGTTTCTAACTTCTGTAAGCTTACAACTTCTGCAATTAGTTTCTCAAAGATCTAAACCAATACAGGATGCAAAAATCTCTTCAAGTACCCCTTCCCACATATACAGGCAAGAGTTGGAAAAATACTGACTGCTGAAAATTGATTAGCTACTTCTTTGCAAAGGTTATAATCATGGGATTCTGAGGGGTGATTTTGAAGCCATTAAGAGCTTGCATGGCAATGGATGATTGCACCTCATCTTCAAAATCAACAAAAGCAATACCCGGCTTTGCTTCAATCAAGCGCACTTCCTTAAAACCTGGATATTGTTCAAAGAGCATTTCGAGCATCCTACCGGTAGTTTCATGAGGCAAATTCTCTATGAACAATATATTGTTAGGAGCAGCTGCTTCTTGAGTGCTGGGTCCTTGACGGAATGAGGCCTGCAGATAATAGTATATATTATATGATATTGCGAGATATATAATACATACAGTATCATCATTCTTTTATTTTACTTGTTTCTTTCATGCTCGAGATTATGAGATGCAAACATTGATATGATGGCCCAATTTTGTAAGAGGGGAGGGAAGATTTTGCTACATCAGCATTAATGAACTGTTCAGTCCACAGCCAAAGTTCATACCAAAGAGAGAAAATCAGGCAATATAAGCAACATTGATTAGGAAAACTTACTGTTGGACCACCATTACTTGCACTATGAGTTCCATTAGCCACCCCAGATTGCTGTGCTTCTTCAGCGCGCCGCTTTCTTTCAGCTGAGTGGGCAAAACTATGTCAGTCAAACTCAAACAATTGGAAAAAAAAACTTCCAATTCAACAAAGGAACTAATATTGATTCTCATGCAACAAAACCAAAAAGAGATCACAAAAGGCAGATTTAATATCCTTCAATTATGAATAACTTAAATAATGTCCAAATGTTGAAGTTTTGATATTGTTCTCTAAAAAATGTTCAACACCAGCATTATATAGCAACACTATTTTATTACTATGAATTCTGAAAAGCTAGTTGGCATTTTTCTTTGATTTATTACTAAGAAAAGCTAAACTGCTTTATTTTTTCAGTTTATCAATGCACTCATTGCAGGGTGGCAGGGCTGTGGTGGAGAGAGAGAGCAGAGAGACAGGTTAATTTGCAAATCTTTTTTACATACAAATGTTGAAAGAATCATCCATGAATGACAAATTTGAAATCTTTGACAAGGGATGAACAGCAGCAGGAAGTTCATATACAATCCGTGCATATGGTTAAATAATGGATTTGCATGTATGAACATGATATAATCCACTCCTTGAAGCTTTACATCACTGTAAATAATAACCTTACAACAGAAACATTCAATCATATTTATCTTTAGGTAAAAAGAATCCTAGGATGATAGGTTTGATAAAACTTCCACACCAGGGAAACATATATGGCTCAAAAAGCTTTATCAACTCATGAATGACCACCGCTGACTGACCATTGGATTCAAACCATAGTATTCACTAATATATTTTTGAACTTTGACAAATATTTTTGTCAGCTTTTTTTCGGTTTCAAAATAACCATACAAAAAAAGTGTCATGTTATGATATAACTAAATAAAATTTATTCATTTCTTCTTTATAACCACATTGTGGGTGCCACTATTTAGGACAGACTACTATTGCAAATTGCAGTGCTACAATCCTATTATGTATAATGGTTCGGCCCTTTCTAACCAACATTATCACTTGAAAGAGACAAATGATAATGATACACAAAACATGCAAAGTTCTGAACTATGAACTAAAAAATGAGGAAGCTTATGTTTTGAGAAGAAACAGTATATGACAAATGCTCACCTTTCTCCTCTTGTTTCTTCTTCTTTTCCCTTGGAACATAACTTCCCTCTTCTTTAGCAATACAATCCGACTTTGTTTTAGCATATTGAATTCGCTGCATCAAATTATTCAAACAAAAAAGCTTTTAGATGTATTTTATAATAGATAGACCAATCAAATACTATACAACTTTATAGGAAAAGGGGGGATGGGGGGAGGGCACAGTATATATCATCCATCTCCTTCAGTCTAATTCATGATAGTAAGCATACTTCCTAAGGACAACAGATGCTTGGATTAAAGAAAATTAAAACAAAAAAAATAAAAAAATAAATAAGATTTCTCACAAGCAGGTATATTTTGGCCCAAACATAAATCCATAATAGACAAGAGATACAAACTACAAATTTGAGATCAAAGACTGTAAGATAACCGGAACAGGCAACTGGAAGTGATTCCAAAATGAAATTAACATCTCTTCCAGTCACCATAACTTGATTACCATAGGTTTATCATAAAATGGGAAGTTTTGCATTTGTCGCACTGCATTACTGGCAGCAGTGACTTCACTGAAACAAACCCATGCCTGTCCTCGAAGCTTGGGTGTCTTTAGAGCAACAACGTCCAAAATTCTTCCATATTGAGAGAATAAGCAATACAGAGATCTCTTCAATTCTGCCACATTGAAAAAAGGAAAAACAGATAAATTATGTCATCAGGTCACATCAAAAACATTAAAAAAAAAAAAAAAGAACTCTGATGTATATCAACAGAAGCTGCAAAAATCATATCCAATTGAAACATCTATAATGCAAGATCATGGCCAAGTATCAGACAAGGCTACAACATATATCCTGGTTTAACTAAATTATCTGTAAAATCAAGTTCCATGTAGTCCAATTGAGACAAGCTTACTCATTAAACTTCCCTTCACAATAACATATAAAATTTCAGCATAAGAAATAAAAGAATCACAGCTTCTATGCCAAATCCACAGCTACCCTAATTCCGCTAAGAAACTTAAACCTAGTTAAAGCCTAGTAGGCACTACTCTCCTGCCACCAAACTATATCACAAACTAACTTAAAAATTTAGAGATAGAATTGCAACTTCGCCAAGTTCCAAAATTTTCAGTGAACCCAGAAAATGGTTTGTAAATGTAAAATTGACAGAACAAAAAATGGGAACACGGGTCTGAAACTGAAAGGAAGTTACCATCTTTCTTGACCTTCTCGTTGAGATTCTTGATGTAAATGGTCTGGTTCGGAGGTATATCCCCAGACAGCATTCTCTCTCCCCTTCTCTCTGCTGCTGTTAGAGAAGAATGAACAAGGTTGAACAGTGGAGCCCTAGCTTAGTAGAGTAGAATGTTGGAGACAATGGTTGCTCTGTTTTGGGGCTTTTCATGGAAATTCAAATTTCATAAGATGGGCCTGGCCCATCTTCTAATTGAACATCACTTCTTAGGCCCATCTTCTCAGTACAAACAACACCTCTTATGGGGCAAAATGAGCTTCATATCATTCACTGTACATGCGCCTGTACATAAGAAAGAAAGAAAAAGAGTAAAAAAAAAAAAATTTTAAAAACATAAAATTTAAGATAATTTATAACGATTCTTTCATGTCTAGAAACTTAAACAAGAATTATCATTGATTAAACTTGTTTTCTTCTTTTTTTACATTCTTAAAATTCACTTATAAATAAAATTTAAAAGAATTGAAAAATAATAAAATATACAAGTGAAAATTGAACTTAATTGCACATTCAATTCATGTTTTACAACTTAATTAATTTCATTAACATGAAGAAATGGAATATATGCATAAATTAGACCATATAAAAAATGTTACTACATGTTAGAGTGACTTAGTACACTACAGGAAAAAAATTATTTATAAAATCAAATTCAAACTATAATAAACAAAACCGGTTAAGATAAATGAGGAGCTAGTTTATAACACCAAATCAAGTTAGATTGAAATTTTAAACAGAGGAAAAAATATATTTTTAGAAAACATTTGTACAAGCTGCGTACATGCACGTTGCAAATGATTCATAAAATGTTAAAGCAAGTCTCTTAAATATGTTGATTAAGATTTGATTCTTAGTCATGTAAACAAAAGATATTGAAAGAAATAAAATTTATTTGAAAATTTCTATCCTATAAAAGAACTAAGCATTATTAAGATGTGAGAAAATCATTAATCTCAAGTTTAGCATGCTTCATGCCAAGCCGAAATACTTGTTCAAGTGTGTTTCACGCTTACCCTCTTGGCATCAATTTGTATTAATATGCACGAGAATTTAATTATATTTTTTGGTACACGGTTCTTGATTTGATTGTTTAGACTACGGCAAAGTGATATTATTTATTTTAAGCAATGAATATTCTACAAAAGCACATGTTAAATACGCATTTTTCTTGGTGTAAACTTGCAAATTTCCTCAAAAGTAATTGATAAATTGACCAATCAAGAAATTGTTTTTTATTTATTATTTCTTAACTTTGAAAGTAGTTATTTAGTTTCCATTTTACTAGAAAATTGCAAAAATAATGAAAGTTTCAGGCTCAAACGTGATCAAATTCACTTTATAATCAGCTTCCTAAGGCTCACCATGGCAGCTGCAAACAAGCTTTTCACTTTCTGTAATTCTAAGCCTATCGCTTTATTGTCAAACTTCTTTTTTTCTTTGGTTTTGTTGGTCGACAATCTAAACAGTGAAAAGAAAAAACACAAGTGCCCTTTTAATTATCTATTAATTAGCAAATTAATTAAAATTTTATATTTTTATAATCAATTTATTTTTTATCCCTTTCTTCTTTTTTATCACATCTCTTCAATCAATTTTTTTTTATCTTCTCTACCTTTTAAATTTTATCAAATTTTTACAATATCCATGAGTTTGAACATATCAAATTGTTTTTTATTCAATAGAATTACATTCCTAGATTCCAAATAGACCAAACTAGTAGCAAATCATATAATCATCCAAGCCTTTTTAATCTTCATCCCTTCAACATACCAAGAAACTGCATATAATTGCTTCGCCGTAAAATCTTCAAATCCTAACAAATAAAACGTGTATCTATTTGCAATTTTTTTTTTGTTTTCTTTTGTCTTTTTCTGTTTATTAGCATAATTAATTCAGTTGAATATTTATTATAATATCTAAATGAAAAATTATGTCTGCAAATAAGTCTTGTATTTTTGCAAATATATAATACCCATGTTTTCTTTTCCTGTCCGAATTTCTATCATTTCAACATAACACGAAAGTCATAAATTATATTCATATTAATAATAGTTTCTTCCTTTCTATCCCTTTCATGCCATCTTTATTTTTTATTTATTTTTTGCTTTTATTTTATCTTTGTTTATTTTTTGATCTTTCATTTTCGAGTGATTATGTGTTGGAGGAAAAAAATCTTTCGTTATCTCTGTTCCTAGAAATATCTACACAAAAAATAAAAATAAAAGATGAATAATAATAAACACATTTAACATATTTCAGTACATCTTACTTACATCTATGAATTCCCACTTCTAGCCTTATTTTCCGTAGACAAACTCTATCTTATCCTTTCTTCCTGATAGTTTGGCACCCATCTCTAGTCTTAGTATCTTGTCAACAAGAGTTTAAATAGGCTAACGTTGTTGTCCATTTGCTATTTCATGTTTGTCTTTATGGTATACTTGATATCCTTCAATGGTTTTCAGCTTATTTAGCATTTCTCCTTATCATAAAGCCATGCCTCCTGAGTACTGACAAAACTAAGCGTGACCTATCATGTGTGATTCCATACTCTAATTTCCAAATTTGAGTTCATTCCCTTAAAACTCTAGTTTCAGGGAAATGTTAACCTAATTAATGTGGTTAAATACTGATTACTATTTTTATTTATCATTTTACATCCTAAAATAATAAATAGTTGCATCACTATATATTTTTTTTTTCTAATCCATCATTATATTTTATATGTTTGCAAATGATGTTCGCATATTTATTTAAAGGATAATTTATCATATAATTTCACACTTCTGTTTATTACTCATATATTTTTTATATTACTAAGACCCCTTAAACTATAATATTTTTTCTGTTTAAGTAACAATAACAAATTATTCTTAAAAGTATAAAAAAATATTGTCTAAATTTTAAACAATTATTTTAACAGCATTGAAAATTCATTGCCTAAGTTATCATTGCCTATTTATTTTGGCAACTACTTTTCACCTGGAATCAAGCTAATTATAAAATCATTACATAAATAAAATAAATGACAACAATTTTTAAGACATTAGATTAATAAAACTTGATTTAATCCTATCAACACATTTTAAAATTGTTGACAAATATGAACAAGCAACAGTTCAATATTCATTTTTTTAAAATATAAATAATTAATAAGTTTTAGCTATGATAAAAAATAATTTTCTATTATGAGTTTTGAAAACATTTTTTTAGTTGTAGGTTGAACTAAAACTATTATAATAATCATAATTAAAATTGTGCTTAGTTATTATGCTTAAATTATAACTAAATCAAGATAGAATAAAGGACAAAGGAATTGTACTGTAATACCAAAAAAAAAAAAACAACTCTAAAGTATAATTAATTTATTCTGACTAAACCCTATAATTTCAACAATATTTTAAACTTCAACTTGATGAACTTCCTATATAAGTTCATATAGGTCTTCATCTTCGGCATTCATTTTTCTTCTTCTTTCCTTTTGAACTAACTCTTTTTTTAATCATCCATGCTTGAGAAGAGCATCAACACTGACCACTTTAAGGGAATGGACAACAAATCCCCCATGCCTAGAAGGTGAGTTCAACTCCTATTACTTGAATTCATACATGTAGGTCAGCTACTTTATATACTAATCCATCTAATCATGATGAACATAAATAGATTTCTTTTGTTAAGTTATATATATATATAAATTAATTTCTCAATGACTACTTATAGAAAATAGAAAGGAAAAAACTTAAACTTCTCTTATAAGTTAAAATTAATTAATATTTTTTGTTTTTTTTTTAAATTTTCTTATTTAACTTCTTATATATAAGTTTATTTTAATTTATAAGAAGACTTTTGTGTATTTTATCACCTATTTTCTGATTGTACAAGTACTTTTATAGCTTATTGAAGCTGAGCATACTCTAGTTAAGAAGATTGGCAAGCATAATTATCTTATGTATAGGTTGGAGGGACAAATTGCAATTATAACAGGTGGGGCCAGAGGAATTGGAGAGGCCACCGCCAAGCTCTTTGCAAAACACGGAGCCAAGGTAGTAATTGCTGACATTGAAGATGCTATTGGCACTTCACTGGCCAGTTCTTTGTCCCCTTCAGCAATCTTTGTGCATTGTGATGTGAAAAAAGAAGAGGACATCAAGAACTTGATAGATATAACGGTGTCCAAATTTGGGCACGTGGACATTCTCTTCAACAATGCTGGGGTCCTTGGAAATCAATCAAAGCACAAGAGCATCATGGACTTCAATGCAAATGAATTTGATCATGTTATAGGCATCAATGTTAGAGGAACAGCACTTGGTATGAAGCATGCAGCTAGAGTGATGGTGCCAAGAAGGCGTGGATGCATTATTTCCACAGCTAGTGTAGCTGGTTTCATGGGGGGGCTTGGTCCTTATGCATACACAGCTTCAAAACATGCTATTGTAGGGCTTACCAAAAATGCAGCTTGTGAGTTAGGAAAATATGGTATAAGGGTCAATTGTATATCCCCTTTTGGGGTAGCCACTTCCATGCTTGTGAATGGATGGAGGAATTGTGAGGATGAGGGAAAAAACATGGAACCGTGTGAAAAAGAGGTTGAAAAATTGGAGGAGTTTGTTAGAGGGCTCGCTAATCTTAAAGGAGCTACATTAAAATCTAATGATGTTGCAGAGGCTGCTCTTTATTTGGCATGTGATGAATCCATGTATGTGAGTGGTCACAACCTTGTCGTTGATGGCGGGTTCACTGCTTCAAAAAATTGTGTGGGGCTATAGGCTTTTAAATTTGGCATTTGTTAAACATTTGTATTCCTGATTATTGATGATCAAATAATGCATAAATAAAAAATGTTAACTAATGAAAAGATTGGTTTTCGGTAATCTTTTCACAAAAAAATAGTTTACTCTAAAGAGTCCAGCATTAATTTTGGTTATAAACATTAAAAATATATTATCAACGCTATTTATAAAACATAAATACCTAATTCATTAAATTAGTAAAAAATAGTTATATGTCATAAATTTATATTTTTTAAAAATGCTTCTAGTATTAAATGATCGAATTGATTTCATACATAAAAGGTACCATATATCTGGTTAACTCAAATTTTGATATAAACAAAGATATAAAAAAAAAACTAATCATTACTATATCTAAAAAAAAAAAGAAGTGTTTGTTTAATATATTTAGGAAAAAACAAATTAATAGTTATTTCTTATAAATAGGGTTGAAATTAGTAATTAAGTTAATGCAAAGGCGCAATAAAAAATTAATCACACTTTTAATTTATTCAATAATTTTTAATCATATTTTTATAACTTTCAATAAATTTCAACTCATTATTAAAAATAAAATTTTGTTAACCTCAATTTTAAGTAGTTAAGAATAATAAAATTTTATTAAAAAAATATTTATTATATTTTTATAATTTTAATATAATAATTATATATTTTTTATTAAAAAAATTATTTATAAATACTTAAACTCAGGTCTAAGATAGTTAAAATTAATAAAAATTTTAAAAATATACTTAAAAAAAAGTATTTTACAGATCACGTTAACAATATAATTTTTAGCAATTTTTTTTTTTTAATTTTTAAGGCGGTAGCAAAAGTCGTAAGAAAACAATGGTTAGAATTTGAGGACAATTTACATGTGGGAAATGACGTGCAGCCACTAAATGAGTAGTACCCGCACGCGATTATGACATGAAGGCGCCGTTTCAAAAGTGATACGCCAACATATGTACAGTGCCTAATCTTTCTTTTAAGCATTCAGAGTCAACTTTTTGGTCTTAAGGGCGGTGTTAGAAGGTCTCACGTGACGTGAATACCATTAGTTCAATATGATAAATTATCAGTTGGGCCACGATTCTACATATATGGGCCCCCTAAAATAATCCAATTTCATCCATGCTGAGTTTTTTGGATTTGTATGTTGGCCCATATTTATTTTCTTAATGTTGCAACAAGACTCTAAAATGATAACTTAATATTATTTATTTACTCAATTAGAAAAATCATTTAATTTATGTTACAAATTTAAAACCAAAATATATTTTAGTTATAAATAAAATTATATCTTTGATCTCCTAATTTATTATTATTTTTACCTTATTTCTTAATATTTAAAAATTTTAACAAGTTCTCTAACTTGGAAGTGTATTTTTAATAGATTATTTTTTATTTAAAAATGTAACAAAAAAATTGTTTATTCCTTTTCTTCTTTCTACAAATACCGATCGCTTCGTGTCTTCTTCTCCTTTGAACCAAGCAAGATGGATCATCCACCATCCTCCTTTGTTTCAAGCCTTGGTCGAAGTTGTATATAAATAATAAGTTAAATTATAAATTTAGTCTCTTTTAATATATTTTTAATTTATTATTATATAAAAATGTATAATTTAGTATTTATATAATTAAATATTTTTTTAATCAGTCTTTAGTATTAAAAACATGATAACGATATTAGATAAAAAGTTAAAACTTTAAAAGAATTACTTGTATAAAAACTAAAATGCAAATGTTAATTATATGAATTAATTTGAAAATAAGTATCATATTTTTAAAATTTAAAAAAACTAAAAATTATTTCTTTAAAAAAACTTATATCTAGTGTAATTTTATATTTTAAAGATAGTAAATTTTCTTTTAAGAAAAATATTTTTAAAATATTTTATAAAAATTGATATACAATAAAAATTATAATAAAAATAATTTTTAATGATACTTTATTCATTTATTTGAATGTAAAATAAAAGATAATTATATAAAATAAAAAATTATTAATTTAAGTTTTTGGGGTTAAGTCTTGTTAATTTTGTATTTAAAACATGCTTAATTATTTATTAATAAAAAAATTTACTTTATTTTATAGAATTGTGTTAACTTCAGCCTTTTAGGTTGAATTTAAACATTTAAATGTAAGAAGTATTTTTATTGAAAAATAATGAATTCATTATATTAAAATTATAAAAGTGTAAATATATACTTTTCATTTTAATAAAATTTTATTGTAATTAATTGCTTAAACTTATTAAGAGTTGGAGTTAATATTTTTTTATTTTTGTTTTTTCTTACATTTTAATGAAAAAATTAAAGTATTAACTTTAAATTTTTTTATAATTTTTATTGTATATCAATTTTTATAGAATATTTTTTTTAAAAAAAAAATTTTATAGAAAAAATATTTATGATTGAGATGTGAAATTATACTAGATATATATTTACTTGAAAATATAAGTTTTTAGTTTTTTAAAATTTTGTAAATTTTTTATTTAATACCTTATTTATTTTTCTAAAAATCCAAAATTTAATTTTTATAATTTATTATAGGCTTAAATATGTTATTGGTCTTTATAAATGTAGGTCATTTTGTGATAAGTCTCTATAAATATTTTTGTTAGGAAATAATCCTTCAAAAATTTAAAATTTAAAATTTAAAATTTAATCTTTGTTGTTAACTTATCTCTGTTAAGTGTTGAGTTGGCTCTCCATTAGTCAGCTTAGCACTGCACGTGGCCTATTCGAATCCTAATCAGTTTGCCTACATGAGTCAATACTTGCTTAGGTGGGTTGCTGAGGTGGATAACTTTCAAAAATGAAAAGTAATAAAATAAAGGTAGAAACCCTTAGATTAAGTACAAAAGGAAACATGGGGTGAAGAAGGTAACTTGCACGCGTGAGATCTGATTCAATGAGAGGCATTCATTGTGCTAGTTGCTGACATCTATGTCTCAATCAGAAGGTTGTGTACAAGATGTGAAGGTTGTGCCCAAAAGGGAAAGTGTGTGGAATGTGGAGTAAGGTAACATGTTAGTGAAAATCCTATTTTATTGTTTCTGTCTTAAACGTGTTGGTGGTGGGGTAGTTATGTAACGAGATTTTCTTAACTTTATCTCTATGTTAAATGTAATGGGTTAAATTTCTTAACTTGTATTGCAATTGTAGGGATAACTTTTAACTTGGTAATATACCATGGGGGTAAATTTTTTGATGAACCGAAGGTGAGATATGTAGAGGAAAAAGTTGATGTTGTGCATAATATCGACATTGATAGATGGTCGTATTTTAAGGTGTTATCCATTGTGAGAGACTTTGGGTATAAAGGTAACTTTTTGATGTGGTGGAATATGCCTAGTTCAACGTTTGATGATGGTTTAAGAGGAATTACATGGGATCATCAGGCTCTGAAAATGACTAATTATGCTTTGAAGGAGAAATATGAAGTGCTATATATAGAGCACATAGTTGGAGAACTTGATGTAATACTTGAATTGACAAATGGAGAGAGTGAACTTGCTGCAATGGGTGATGTAAAGGGTGAATTTGCTGCAAGGGGTGATGTAGAGGGTGGAGCTAAAGGAATGGATGATGTAGGTAGAGCTGAAGGAATAAGTGATGTAGAAAGGTGTGATATAGAGGAGTCTGATGCCAAGGGTGAAGTTGAAGGGATGACTGATGTAGAGAGAGGATGTGGGCCTGAAGCTGAGGTTGTGCTAGATTTTAGGTCTCCTGAGAGTAACATAGACAAAGATTACTTAAGTGAAGAGTTGCAATCTGAGGTTAGTTTAGACAGTGACAGTCCTCACTATACAACCAAACTTTGGGAGCTTTTACATGTATTTAGATAGATGTAAAAGAGGTTTTATTTCTGGCTGTAGATCATTCATTGGTGTGAATGGCTATCATTTGAAGACCAAGTATGGTGGACAACTTCTAATTGCTTGCAAGAGACACAAATGATCAATATTCCCTACTTGCAGTAACTGTGGTAGAAACAAAAATAAAGAGTCTTAGGGATGGTTTTTGACTTTGCTATTAGAGGATATTGGGGACCAATAGACTAACAGATATGTTTTCATTTTTTACCAACAAAAGGCAAGTTTAATTATTTCCTAATTTTAATTTTATGTACAATTTGTTACAGTGACTTAATCTTAAATTATATAATTATTGAAGGACTAAATCCTCACATTGTTATTTTTTTTAGGGTTTGGTCCAAGTTTTTGATGAGCTGTTAATGGGAGGTAGAACACAAGTATTGTGTTAGGCACTTATACAGTAACTTGAAAAAGAAGTTTGGAGAGGTTCATTGTTAAAAGTTGATAATGGGAGCATCTAAAGCAATCTATTTGGAAGCTTGGGAGGAGAAAATGACCCAAATAAAAGAACTGAACTTAAAGGCTTATGAGTAGTTGTCTGTCATCTCCAAGGAAAATTAGTGTAAACATTGTTTTAGTCCATATCCTAAATGTGATGTAAATATGAACAACTTATGTAAGGCTTTTAACAACATTATTTTGCTAGCTAGAGATAAACTTATTATAAGTATGTTAGAGTGGACTAGGTTGTATTTAATGAGAAGATTTTCCGCTCTATGAGAGAAAGGCAATAAATTGCAAGAGAGTGTCATGCCTAAACCTAAAAGAAGGCTTGAAAGGAAAATAGAATATAGTACAAATTAGTTTCTTACATGAGTTGGGGAGTTAAAATTTGAGGTCACACATAGTTTATTTACAGAAAATTTGTTGTTGACCTCTAGTCAAATTACTGTTCATGTAACTTTTGGAGTTTGGTTGGCATTTCATATAGACATGCTTGTGTTGCAATATCCTATAAGGAAAAAATTTCAGTTAATTATGTTCACTAATATTATAGTAAGAAAGCATATATAAGATATTATGACCATTATACCGGTCTAATTAATTGTCAAAACAGATGGTCACAAATAGAAGAGAATGTTATTTTGCCACCTTCTTACAAAAAAAGACCAG